GCGAAGCTTTCATCACCTTACTGGGTGACATCTTCAGCGCATACTTCAATTTGAAGTGAGCTTTTAGATTTCTCCACGAGTTTATTAATCATCCCTCCTGGTGACCTTGGACGTGATTGGTTGTTTGTGTGTGTTTTCACACCTTCTAGGTTACTTGTATTGGAACCGGTTGTTTCTTTGACTTGAACTTTGACCCTTTGTGTGTGAAGTTTCTTTCTTATTGGTTGATAAATTTTGTCTATCTCGATGTGTCTATTGATTGATGATCCACTGGAATGCCAAGCTTCTAAAAATTCTCTAGCATTCTTGTTATTTCCTTTGTCTAATATTTGAACGTTGTCCCAGTCGAATTGATGTCCGTAGTTGTCTGTGTGTAGTGAAATGAGGGAGTGGATATCATGTCTTTTGACGGCTAGCTTATGTTCGTGGATACGAAGACGAAGGGGACGTCCACTTTGGCCGATGTAGTGTTTTTCGCAGTTGTTACAGTTTATTTTGTAGATGATGTTGGTTTTGTCTTCTTTCGCTGTTGAGTCTTTCGGTTGACATAGAATTGAGTGCAGCGACTTTGTTGGTTTGTGTACGACGTCAATTCCTAAAGGTTTGAAGAGTCTTGTAGTGATTTCTGAGATATCTTTTATATATGGTAAGGCAATTTTCTTTGTGCTTTCCTTGGTGGCTTTTGCTTTGGTAGGTTGGCCATCTGTTCTTTAGTAGAGGAGTTGACATAATCGCATACCGAAAAACGTCTTCATTAGCCCATTTGAGGGGCTTTACGTGGTGCACCAAATCTCTGATCCTTAGAGAATCTCTGATTAACTTGACAAAAGTGTTGAGAATGCAAATTTGATTCTTTCTGCAGTGGAGAGCAGCAGTTTTCCAAATTTGTCTCAGTGCAATGAGTGTGTGTGTGTCTCGCTTTTGACATCCACGTCTGTGCCGGACTGTAGCTGAAAAGATGTTGCCTAGGTAAGTGAAAGTATTGACCTCTTGATAGTGATTGATACTGTTTTGTTGATATTGTGGTTGTCTAGTTATCTTCGTCTCTATCACTTCTATATCCTTTATCCTCACGTGAGATGGTATCTTCGCTGACTGCCTCTTCCACCAACTTGTTTCTTTCCACCCCGAAATCGTCCAGTTTGTGTGTGTGTGTGTATTATTTATTTTGAAACTTTACGACAGGCATTTCAAAGTGAAGCTGTTGAACGACAGTTTTCCATTATGGATAAGATTTTATTTTGATAAATCACAGTTTTGTTATTCAGTAATATTACCTGATGCGACCACGTTTCGAGCACAAATTATTGCCGCTCATAATCATATCAAGTCACTCATTCACATAACTTTTTCCTTCATTTATATATACATGTGTGGAATCGATTAGATATTGGAATAAAAATCAGTAATATAAGATAACGTACATTCCAGAATAATAACACTAGTGTTTTTATAATCATAATAAGTTACTTGTTAGAATGTTGTGATGTGTTTGAATTGGAATAGAATTTTGAGATTATGTATTATCCTCTTCTGATTTGACTGACTGGTGGTTATAATATCTTCCATATTTTCGGTATTTACACTGAGTCATTTCGGTTGCACATGTGTTGGGTGTAGACTTGTTGAACAAGTTCTCCGTAATCAACTTCTCTCTCTCCACCTACCTAGATTATGTTTTAGAATTTTAACCCTCTCCCACCCGTCCTGTTGTTTGGTTGTGAGTTAATGCGTGAGGTGCAATTGCTGAACTTTTTTCTAAATTACGTATCTTCTCGGAGTCAATCATTCTGCCCTTAATCTAAATTCTTATGTTCTGAGTATCCCCGACCTACTAGTCTGACCTATGTAGTTATGCTCTACCACCACAGTGCCCAAGTTTTATACTTATATCAAGAATGACAGTTTTAGGATACAATTGGTGGGTGGTGACTAGCAGTGTTACCCAACTGGAAATGTTGTAGTTGTAGAACTACAAATGTTACCCAAAAATCTCATAGTTTACTGTTTGGCATATGGATCGGAAAACGAAGGAAGTATGACGACGTTGTGAAAACAGTAACACCATTACTGGAACCTCAAAACCTGTGCTCCAATACTCCATTATGAATTTAGAGAAATGAAACATAAATCATTTGATGAGAAGTTACTGAAACTAAGAGTGTACATGATATTTCAAGCACAGAAATAAAGCATCACATTCTCTATGAGACATTCAATTCAGTTGAATGTTAAGGACGAAACAAAACCTTTGGTTACCTCAGTGCGTATATATCAGTTTACTTCTCTATATGAAGTGAAGTATATTGGTCATACACAACGTTAAGTTCACAAATGTATTCTAGAACACTGTGCGGCCTGGCTAGCCAGCTAGAGAAGAAAAAAAGGAGAATACTAGCAGCTCTAGCTTCGAACACCTTGTCAACTCTGGACATCCTGGAGCATCCTCTCTTGAATAATACACAGTGCTATACGGATTTCCTAAATATTCTTTGAAAGAACTTCGGATACTCCATCTATTCATAGATGAGTCATAGGTTATTCGAGGTCTAAAGTAACAGCTTCTGCATTAAAATGCACTACTTACCTACACTCGCTTTATCGTTGCCAGAGTAACGTTCTTACCACAATTTGGCTTCATTTTGTTGTGTGAGCTTACTATTACTATTATCACTATTATTATTCTCATTATCCTTATTTTATTATCATTCAAATATTGTTTAATAATAACATTATATTTGCATATATTTGCACTTTATCGTCTTCCCACTAGTTTTTGTCCACTCTACACAATCATAATAGATATGATAGAGAAGATTTGTAGCTCAGGTGGATGATTTTGATGTGGTTTTGTTCTCTGAGCTGGATGGTTAGTTTGCGAAGCTTTCATCAAGATACAAACCACCAGTCAACTGCCCAATGGGATGGAGAAATCTAAAAGCTCACTTCAAATTGAAGTATGCGCTGAAGATGTCACCCAGTAAGGTGATGAAAGCTTCGCAAACTAACCATCCAGCTCAGAGAACAAAACCACATCACAATCATAATAATCAATCAATTTTCCATAGTTATTATCTCATATTAACTTTCATCCCCTTTTTCTAATTTCCAATCGGTCACCCTTTCTAGACCACATCATACTATCTCCAACTAAACATCTCCTTCTAGATTAAAACCTGCATTACGTAATACATTTGCTAGAACAAATTTATCACTATGTGACTGATCAACTATGATAAGGGTTGTACATCTTGTAGAAATGAATCATTGTACATGTGATTTTCCACGCTATTTACGCTATTTTCTTACGTGTCAAAATGGGAATTACTAGGTCTATAGTTTTCTAGCTGGTCACAAGCGCGGGTAATGAGGAAGTGTCGGGCGTGGGGCTAGAGACACTACCTCAGAAAACTAATCAAACTGCTATTGAAACGTCAACGCACAAGAACTATGTTTTAGAAATACAAAATATATAAAACTGAAATTATTCTTCGCTGGAATCCAGAGGGACGAATTGATAAAGTGGGCTGGCTGCCTAGTGAAAGCCTTCGGGAAGCCTATCAACCATCGGATTGGTCGACTCTCCATGAAACCACGAATAATAATGAGGACATGGAACTTACGTACAATGTACAAGGCTGAGAAGGCTACCCAAGGTAACCGAAGAAATACAAAGATATGGCATGGAAGTGCTGGGCATCTGCAAGAGTAAATGGAATAGACATGGACTGTCAAAACTCCCAATTGGTGAGTGAGTATTCTACTCCAATCAGGTCACCCAGACGACAACCACGAATATAGTGAGTCAGTGGGAGGCCATCATTATATCACAAGAACGAGGGTATACACAAAGCCAATGACATGGATTTCGCCAGACGGATACACTACAAACCAAACAGATTTCATCTCGATGCTGATCAAGGAAGTAGAGATACAGCTAGCATGTTGAAGACAAAGTCGAGAAAGGGAGCAGATGTGGGTTCAGACCATCATCTAGTTCAAAGAACCTTCTAAGTGAAGATGAAATCCCTAAAAACAACTAGATACAGACCATAATTCAAGTTCAACATTCAAAAACTGAAGGGCGAAACCATAAGGGATGCCCTTACTACAGCCATCAGATCAGAGCAAAGTCGGAGACACTAAGTGGCGTCACTGAGGAAGAAATGGAGGTGGATTCTTCATACTCTGAGAAAACAAACCATCAAGTGAGTGACATCACATGTCATCGCTTGAGTGAAACCCCAATGGAATGGGAAGCGGCAAGTCGGTCGTAATTGTGACAGTGACATGGAAAGGGAGGTCATGTGGAGAAGAAAGCATGTGGGCAGACAAGCAGCCAGGTGATGAAAACGTTAGCAGAGAACTAAACGCAATGGAGACGTGCAGCTGAAGCCCTATTTTTCTGTAGGAATTAAAAGAAACAATAATAATACAGGTCTTCAGATTCCTGTTATTGTAACCACAAATCGTATCATTAGGTTCAAAACTAATGTGGTGATCTTTTAGTGACACTATAATTATCATCATTCCTTTACGTTCTGAGAGGAAAATAGAACTCCAGCAGGACATCCGCATTTTATTCTGTCCTCTGCATCCGTCTTTTAGCTGGCTTTTTAATTCGCCTACAAGCGCCCCTCACTCATGTCAACTTTAAATCTACGTCAATTTCGTTGTTTCGCGTTCACATTACACTTGATAGTTTACCTGTCGTGTCATTTAACCCACTGTTCCCCTCGGTGTATGTGTGTGTGCGCGCGTGTGTAATCTGTCTCCTTCGCCTCCGATATATCTGTTGCATTTCAGTGATAACACCTTTAGTGTATCTGGAATAGACAACTGTATATTCTAGACTGCTGTAAACCCAAACGTTAAGAACATCTTTCGAGTACTTTTTAAAGCAACATATACATATATTTATATTAGGAAAATACAAAAGCAAAACTGTAAATATCGAAACATCATAACAATAATAATAATTATTATTATTATTATTATTATTATTCAATAGATGCACGCCTCCATAATCCAGCCAAATAAATCCATATAGATAGAACTGGTCCAGGATAAGCTTTCACATAAACATTTAAAGTGAATTGAATATCATTCATTAAGTCTGCTTGTGATCTTCTCATTGGAGTTAATGATGCTTTATGACTACCACTACCAACAGTAAATAAAGAATCCGTTAAACTAGTCAATGTCGTCTTTGAAAAAGCCATTGAACTTCTTGGTGGTTGTTGTTGTTGTTCTTCGTGTTGATGAAAACGATTAACAACATCAGCTAGCGTGAATTCACTTCCAATTAATTCATGTATCCCCTTTGATTTAACTCTAGCGATAATTTCATGAGGTTCCATGTAGGAGAAATTCATTGGGAAACCATAAATCTGTTCCGTGTTGTAAACAATAATCGGAGAAATCAAAAGAGAGAGAGAGATAGAAAGAGAAAAGATTTTAATTAGCTAAAATATTTTACCGTTTGACTGATGATCGTCATCAGTAGAAAGTAGTAGAAAGAGAGTTTCGACTTGATCGGCACTCATCAACTGAATCTACTTGCATTTAAAGTGGGTGTGATGCAGTTCTCACAAGCTTTCGAAGCCATCAATGATTGTTCATAATAGCAAAGTGTTAGACACAGTAAACCTATGGACGATGTGAAGCACCTGTTGTAAGTATTACGGATGGACTCCATTGCTAGTTACCATATCAACCAAACATTAACATATTAATCTTGCAAAACCAATAAGGCATCCTTACTACACGCTGATATGTTAACAGCGATCAAGAATTTTGATTCACTAGTAAATACATTTACACACCATACACCAAACCCACAGCCTACAAAGCATTATGTAATATGGCATATATAAAACTTTCCCATAGTGAAATTTCGAACAACACATACAAGCGAAGAATATTGTGGTTTCAATTAGATCTCATCAGGCTCAACTCTAACATACATAACTTTACAAATAGAAATTCAAATATAAACAATTCTTGGTGTTTTGTATATAGGATAATAAGATGGTGAATATAAATTGTGTAATTAGTCATAAGAGTAGTAATGATAATAATAATAATAGTCTTATCTTAATCGTGTAATGTATTGGCGCAACACATTTCGAACAATCTGATCACACACACGGACTTGCCGTAGGAATATATATGAAATTAATAAAGAGTTAAGAGGTGAGAAAATAGACTACTTATGTCAAGTGGAATCTTCAGAATCCATTAATGGCGAGAACAAGAGACCTAGCTCCTCCATTGGGAGACATATTATAGAGACAGGACATAAAATTGACGTTAACAGATCTCTTAAACCCAACTATAAAACGTGTTTAGGGGAGGATGTATCTCAAAGCCCTAGCTGGTAATTAGGAAGTTTAAAGCATCTTTATGCGTTCAAAGCAACCATTCGTCATCACATTAAACCTTCTTTGGTAAATTTTGATTTGATCCCATAACAGTTATACTATTACCTCTGTTATTTGGTTTAGTGATCTTCGTTGTTATATTGACCTTGAATATGTCCTTTTAACTTGACCTAAGTCTATTTTTCTCACCTCTTAACTCTATTAACTTCATATATACATTCCTATGAGAAGTCCGTGTGTGATCAGAATGTTCCAAAATGAGTTGCGCAAATGCTACACTTTTATTTTTATATTTTTTGTTTATTTTTGATTACAGCTTGATTCCATACCGTACATTGGGTACAGGGATGGAATTTTCAGCATGTGATACCGATAGCCCAAATTTGCAGGCCGAGCATAGATATCATGTGTGCGTCGGTAGGGAATTGAACCTCGGACCACGTGCATGGTAGACGAGATTCCTAACCCCCTGTGCCACAGATGCACATAACACGATTCAGAGAAATTACGTCTTCTAAATGCTTTATCTAAATTCATAAAGGGAAATAATTGTTTTAAATGGTCTTTAAAAGTGAGACTATTTCTGACAGCATGGATAACGAAAAACATCATGATTAAACAAACAAACGTTCAGGTAGGTAGACGTAGAAAAGGATAAAGTCTATTTAAAAAAAAACAAATGAACCCATTAAGTAATGCTAAATTGCAAGGGAAATAAATGAAACACGTTTTTAATGAAGATGTGATAAGATTAAGGGGTGATAAGAGAGGAACTGAAAATATATAGTTAAGGGGTGGTTTAGAAGTCATTAGTTGGTGATGGTTTCTCATAGGCCAAGGGAGTGATAATGGCTGTACGAACTTCTTTTGAATGCCTAGTTTAGGCTTAATAGTTCGAATGCCTATCTCCTCAGCCGTGTGCAGTAGACGAATTCCGAAGTCTATTGGAAAGTTATGTATATTAGAGTTAAGCCTGCTGAGATCTAATTGAAAGCAATATTGTCCACTTAAATGTATTGCTGTTATATAGCATAGTCAGGAAAGTATGAAGGTGAAACAATAAAGAAGAATAGATAGAGTATATTTATTAATAAATTATGAAAGGCGAAGCCCCATTGTGGTAAAAGGTACTAGAATCCTTATGTATGATATGAGGCCACAAAAAAGATCTGAAGAGAAGCCAGCTGTCAAGACAAGCAGTGCTGTTGAATACGAAGAAAACGTCGAGTGAAGAGACTCTTTTCACTTAATTCATCCATTCAGAATTACAATCGCATGTCGTTTTCAAAGACCGAGTAAATTAGTTGTAAACAGTCGGTTTCCGTGACCTCTCTGCCCCCATTTCCAAGTCTTGGTGTGTATTTTTCAGATACAAGAGGAATTATCGAATGGAAGCGATCTACATTTACAAGTGACCAGCAATGGTGCAATCGCACACTCCTTGCTAACCATACTTGTGTGGTATAAGGATCCGATTTCCATACACTCAAAATTCTCTTCTGATCAGTAGTAAGCTCAGGAATAGACGGAAGATTGGATATGAGGTTGTCAAATCAACAACTGCAGAAACCTTAGTGAGTCAAGTATAAAGCCTTTTTGTTCCATCTGAAATGTCAAAGGAATCAGAAGAAAGAAATGGGATCCAACATACTTTCGAATGACTTCACAAAAACCCTAGGAATATGAAATGCTTAGGCATTAAATCAGCCCAGCTTAGAGCTAACAGGATTACTTGCCATTTTTATGACACTTGGAATAAATTTATTCCACGAAATAAAACATGAGCTTGTATTCTCCTGTAAATATGCTTTTTCCTCCTTTATTCTTGCTCTTTGTTGTATTCCTATAGGTTGCTGATCGGAACCAATTTACTTTTACCTAAAAGTTGGATATTCGGCGGTGTGTATTCACAAAACATAACTATAACTAACTTCTTAAGAATGACTAGATCATCACTGTTAACCAACTGCTTCCATGTCACAAATATGAGGAGTAAGGTTACAAACAAAGGCGGAAATTTATGCAAAACCCGAAGCCAGTGGTATCCATTCACATAAGGAATACGACTTGGGAACTGTGGTAAAGTGAAATTTTTTATTTTTTTTATATTTTTTTTATATTTTTGATTTACAGCTTGATTCCACACTGTATTTTTGGTACAAGTATCGAATTTTCAGCATGGATATCGGTAGCCCAAATTTTGCAGGCCGACCATAGATATCAGGTGTGCGCCGGCGTGGGCTCGAACCTCGGACCATGTGCATGGTCGGCAAGAGTCCTAACTACTGTGCCACCGACGCACAGAGAGAATCAGAATTCCTATATTACTGGAATGAATAAAGTATTGCAAGTTTCAACCGGAAACTTCAAAATATCACACGCAAAAAAATAACTGTACCTCTATTATGAAGAAAACTTTATTTTTATAAAATCATACAGTGTGTTATACAGTAAGTAATATTTACTGATGACAACGTTTTGAACACAATTTATTCCTGTTAATATATGTGTAACACTTAGGCACTATGGTCGTAAGTAATTCCATATTAGTTTGTTTATTAGATGTATCACACAGTGAAACAGTATTATTATTATTTACTGGAGGACAATGATTCAAACACAATCTGTTATTTTTCATAATCATTTCATCAATTATAATCACACGACTTCGAAACTTGAGTTTTATAGTTTTCTTTGTCCTCTCCTATTTGTCGTTGTTGGGCTGGGAGAATTTTCCAGATATCTGGGACAGGTGTTAAATCATTCCTATTACACGTATTCACTCCCATTTGATTCGATAAATAAAGCTTCTGTTATCAGTCTCTCCCTATACCCTCTCACATTAGACTTTAAAATTGTTATTTTATCCCATCAAGCCTATTGTATGGTTGTGTGTGATTGCATGTAATACTATGGCTGAACTATTCTCTACATTTCTTATCTTATTCGGGTCAACTAATCTAGATTCTGCCGCTAGGCTTTTATGTTCAGCTAGTCTGACTGTCCCTGTTCTACTAGTTTGACCTATGTATTTGACCTGACATTCATTGAAGCAGGGTATTAGATAAACTAAATAGTTTTGTTTTAAAAGCTCCACAGGATTAACCCTCTAACCGACAAAACGTGTTTCTAATTGAGTTTGTGTTTGGTTTGAATGCCGGCCACTTTTATTCCTGCCTTGTTAAGAATTCTGCGTAAGGTTTCCGAGGTTCCTTCCTTGTATGGAATTCCTACTGATTATTTAGATTCCTTATTGTTGGTGTCGTCATTAATATTAATATTATTATCATTATTATTATTGTTATTATTATTATCAATATTCTCACTATTGCTACTATCATTCTTTATTTTTACATTTACTTACACATTTCCTGACTAATTTACCCGGGTAATTGTTAAGTTTCAAGGCTTCTTATTTAATTTATTCCTGCTCATAATAATATCGCGGTACTCAATCACACAATTGTTTTGCTTCATTTGTATACATGAGTAAAAACTGAGGATTAGACATTTGAATAAAATTAACAATATAAGGTAAAGTACATTCAGCTGTAATAATATGAGTGTTATCAATCAAGGAGGAGCGGACGAGGATGTCAAATCGAGCGAGAATCGGGAAGGCGAGAAACACATTCATCAGCCTGAAATCAATCTGGAAATCTTCGTCACTCAGCATCACCAACAAAATTCGGATTTTCAATACAAACGTAAAGTCAGTCAGCTCTTCTATACGGATTAGAAACTTGGCGGGTCACAAAGTATATTTCCAAAAGGCTGCAGACCTTTATTAGCAACTGTCTTCGCTCAATACTGAAGATCAGATGGCCGGAAAGAATCACCAACAAGGAATTATGGGAACAAACAAAGCAAGAACCAATCGCCCAACAAATATGCAGGAGAAAGTGGAGATGGATCGGACACTCGCTGAGGAGACCTCTGGGTGACATCGCGCGCCAAGCCCTTGAGTGGAACCCGAAAGGGAAGTGGCGTGTGGGACGTCCAAGGGTGACATGGAGGAGATCGTGTGAAAAGGAGTTGAAAGAAGATGGATTAACATAGATGCAGGCGAAAAGTGTAGCAGAAGACAGAAGCAAATGGAGACGTGCAGTTGAAGCTCTATGTTCCACTAGGAACCCAAGGGAGCAATAATAATAAAATAATAATATCAATCAAGTGCAATCAGATGGGAAATATGATGCTTTTATGGTTAAAATAAGTAGTTTGTTAGAATGTTATAATGTGAATTGGTGAAATACGTTTTAACATTACTTATTATCCTCTTCTGATTTTACTGGTGGTAATCATATCTTCCATACATATCCTTGGTATTTGCGTTGAGTAATATCTGTTGCATGTGTTGAGTGTAGAGTCAATTAACCTGGATTCAGTAATCAAACCCTGTCTATTTCCACTTACCTATATCACTCATTAGAATTTTACCCCTCTCCCACCATGCTATTGTGTGGTTGTGTGTTAATCACTTCAGTGCAATTGCTCAGCTTTTTTCTAAATCACTTATCTTTGTGGGGTCAGCCATTCTAAACCTAGTTAAATTCTTATGATATGACAATCTGACTACTCTTGATCTACTAGCCTGACCTATGTAGCTTACTTAACTTACAGTCATTGCAAAGTTTTTTGTAAATTATATTATTCTGTTTACTTGGGTCAACCTACACAGCTTGTCCTAGCTGAGTGAGTTAGTAGGTTTGAATGCCACTACCCTAATTCCTGCTTTATTAGGAATCCTACGTAGGGTCTCAGATGCCCCCTCCTTATATGCCTTATATTCTCCCTTATTTATATTATCATTACTAGTTTCACAATTATTTTGATTTTGGCCTTTTCTGACCAACGCTTCTTCTATCTGTTTTATTTCATCATTTAGGTCTTTTCCTGTACCACTTAGTGCTACTGCTCGGTTTGTTAGACGCCTAACTAACTCTGCCTCTACAGACAGATAACGGATGAGATTACATAAAGTCTAAATATCCAATATTAGAATGCGTCGGCTTTACATAAAAACAAGTGTGCGGTTCACTTTCTTCTGTTCATTTTATTTTACAATCTAACATCAAAGCTAATTCTCCTTGTTCATTTTCCGATTCAAATGTGAATTTTATTCCCTTTATTAGTGAGTTTATGTGTGTGTGTGTTAGGAAGTTAGAGATGTTCTCTGTCTTTAACACTGTGTGTGAAAGTGTCATCCACATAGCTCCAGCGAATTTTTCGATTAGGATTAAATGCATTGAGATCAATAATATTCCAGCTGTCCATAAAGATATCTGCTACGATAGGGGATATTAGTGATCCAATTGCTACACTAATATGATTATTTCTGAATGTACTTTATCTTATGTTGTTGATTTTATTCATTCTGCCATCGTATTATCAATCCATATTTCTCTAAGAAAGGACTGATCATTTCGACCAACCAGTAGTCATTACAAACTACTGAACTATTGACCAACACTCATTCATCAACTTACATGATATTTACTTGAAATACGATCAAGCAATTGACCTAATCCATCATAATATGCTCCATTATTCTTTTCTAAACTATAAGAAAAGTAAAAAAGAAAGAAAGAAAATTATACATTAATTTTATTTTTACAAGTTCATCACGGACTGATATCAGTTAGAGAATCATTGAAAACCTGCACTGGAGTACTAGACAGCCAGCTGTTTCGTCCCAGTTGGGGAATCATCAGCAGTACGCACCCACCGCCAAGGCAAGCTAGTATATCACTCATCCACTGGGACCCGATTCATTGGCCAGCTTATGGATTATAACTCCTACCAGTTCGTGATTTAGCGCGATCATCAACTAATGTTATCGCTGGGATATCCATCCTCACACGTTACATCTGGATGGAACTCGCTGGTCAAGACTTATCAATAAAACTGCAAGAAACTTCGTCCTGTAGCAAGTCACTAGCGAACATCACAGCCAAAAGAGGAAATTTTAATATATGTGTAAAACTTGGACATTGTGGTAGTAAGTAATTCCATATTAGTTTGTTTATTAGATGTATCACACAGTGAAACAGTATTATTATTATTTACTGGAGGACAATGATTCAAACACAATCTGTTATTTTTCATAATCATTTCATCAATTATAATCACACGACTTCGAAACTTGAGTTTTATAGTTTTCTTTGTCCTCTCCTATTTGTCGTTGTTGGGCTGGGAGAATTTTCCAGATATCTGGGACAGGTGTTAAATCATTCCTATTACACGTATTCACTCCCATTTGATTCGATAAATAAAGCTTCTGTTATCAGTCTCTCCCTATACCCTCTCACATTAGACTTTAAAATTGTTATTTTATCCCATCAAGCCTATTGTATGGTTGTGTGTGATTGCATGTAATACTATGGCTGAGCTATTCTCTACATTTCTTATCTTATTCGGGTCAACTAATCTACATTCTGCCGCTAGGCTTTTATGTTCAGCTAGTCTGACTGTCCCTGTTCTACTAGTTTGACCTATGTATTTGACCTGATAATCATTGCAGGTGGGGTATTAGTTAAACTAAATTGTTTTGACATAGATCTCACCAGACTTAACTCTAATATATATAAGTTTACAAATAAAAATTCAACTATAAACCAATCATGGTGTTTTGTCTATAGGATAAAACGGTGGTGAATATAAATTGTGCAGTTAGTCATAATATTGGTAATGATAATATTAATAATAATAATAATAATGGTCTTTCCATATTACTTTGATTATTAAATGTATCACACAGTGAAACAGTATTGTATACTGGATGACGTTTCGAACACAATTTATTGTTCATAATCATATCAATTTTTGTCACACGACTTCGAGATTTGATTTTTATAGTTTTCTCTGTCTTCTCCTATTTGTTGTATGGGCAGTAGAATTTTCCATATATCTGGGACAGGTGTTGAATCATTCCTATTACATGTATTTGCGGTTGATTCGATAAACAAAGCTTCTGTTATCAATCTCTCCCTATACCCTGTGACATTAGATTTTAAAACTGTCATCCTATCCCATCCTATTGTATGGTTGTGTGTAACTGCATGTAGTGCTATAGCTGAACTACTCTCTAGATTTCTTATCTTATTCGGGTCAACCAATCTAGATTTAGCTAGGTTTTTATGTTCGGCTAGTCTGACTGCCCCTGTTCTACTAGTTTGACCTATGTATTTGACCTCACAATCATTGCAGGGTATTAGATAAACTAAATTGTTTTGTTTTAATGGCTCTACAGGATCCTTTAACCGACAAAGCTTGTTTCTAATTGAGTTTGTGGGTTTGAATGCCACTTTTATTCCTGCCTTGTTAAGAATTCTGCGTAAGGCTTCCGAGGTTCCTTCTTTGTATGGAATTATTGTTGATGATTTACATTCCTTATTGTTGGTGTCGTTATTAATATTATTATTATTATCACTATTATTATTACCATTATTATTATTATTATTATTGTTATCATTATTATTATTATTATCACTATCTCTGTTATCCTTCTTTATTTTATTTTTACATTTACTTACATATTTCTTGACTAATTTATCCGGGTAATTATTAAGTTTCAAGGCTTCTTTTATGTGTGTCACTTCCTGTCTTAGATTTTCCTTGGTACTACTTAGTTTTTGTGCTCTGTCATTTAAACATTTCACTAATCCTATTTTTACTGACATAGGATGGGATGATCGGAAATCCAAATATCTGTTTGAATGTGTGGGTTTTCTGTAAACACTAGTGTTTAGCTTCCCATCTTCTTTCCTTTTTACGTTGCAATCTAACATTGGAAGTTCCCCTTCCTGACTTTCCAATTCATAAGTGAATTGAATTGCCTCTACCTTCGAGTTGATGTGCTCGAAAAATCTATCTATATCTTGTGTTCTAAGTACAGTGAATGTGTCATCTACATACCTCCACCATACTTTTGGGGTGGGGGTGAACGTTTCAATCGCTATCTTTTCCCACCTATCCATGAATATATCTGCTACCACCGGGGATATTGGTGATCCCATGGCAACTCCCTCAGTTTGTTTGTATATTTTCCCTTGGAATTTAAATACTGTAGAAGTCAGGCAAAGCTGCACTCCCAGCATTATGTCCTCAATTGGCACTTTTGTCCTAAGTTCGAGTTCTTGGTCAGAAATGAGTTCGTTTCTGACTGCCTCTATAGCCATATTTATTGGTATACGTGTATATAAACTGACAATGTCAAAACTAACCATTTTTTCTTCATTATCTAATTTTAAATTATCTAATCTGTGTTTTAGTTCATAAGAATTAGTTAGTCTAGATTTCGAGTGGATTTTTAGGGGATTTAATACCATGGCTAAATATTTAGATAATTCATAGGTAGGTGAATTTCTAAAATCAACTATAGGCCTAATAGGGTATCCTGATTTATGAATTTTAACAACACCATACATCCTACTGGGGTTATTAGTTTTTGGCATTAAATTAAACCACTTAGACTCACCTAGAAACGGCTTCATTCGGCGTATAAGGTCCGCTGTGGATTTCTTAACTTTATTCATAACTGTGTCTATTGATTTATTAATTTCCTCATATGGTCCTGTTTGTATGTGAGTATTTACCTTGTCCAAATAGTCCGATTTGTCTAATACTACTGTTGCGTTCCCTTTGTCTGACTTTGTGATTACTATATCCTTGTTATTCTTGAGGTGTTTTAGGGCTTCTGTCTCTTGTTTTGTCAGGTTAGGTTTTCCACATTTTTGTCGTTTTAATGTAAGTGCACATTGTGCACGTACTTCTTCAGCTGTTGTTTTGTCTATCCCACTTAGTGCTATTTCTATTTTAGGGATGACATCCTCAGGTTTTAGCTTGTCCACCGCTACATTGAAGTTTAGTCCCTTTTCTAATACACTTATTTCCATCGGACTTAATATATGTGATTAGTCAAATCAAAAAGTTCAACAAATTATTAGAGGAGAAATCTTCATCTCAGAATAATGAAGTCAACAATCCAAAATCAACGGCAATCGATAAATCAAAGTGGGTTATCAATCTCTCATCACATATATTAAGTCCGATGGAAATAAGTGTATTAGAAAAGGGACTAAACTTCAATGTAGCGGTGGACAAGCTAAAACCTGAGGATGTCATCCCTAAAATAGAAATAGCACTAAGTGGGATAGACAAAACAACAGCTGAAGAAGTACGTGCACAATGTGCACTTACATTAAAACGACAAAAATGTGGAAAACCTAACCTGACAAAACAAGAGACAGAAGCCCTAAAACACCTCAAGAATAACAAGGATATAGTAATCACAAAGTCAGACAAAGGGAACGCAACAGTAGTATTAGACAAATCGGACTATTTGGACAAGGTAAATACTCACATACAAACAGGACCATATGAGGAAATTAATAAATCAATAGACACAGTTATGAATAAAGTTAAGAAATCCACAGCGGACCTTATACGCCGAATGAAGCCGTTTCTAGGTGAGTCTAAGTGGTTTAATTTAATGCCAAAAACTAATAACCCCAGTAGGATGTATGGTGTTGTTAAAATTCATAAATCAGGATACCCTATTAGGCCTATAGTTGATTTTAGAAATTCACCTACCTATGAATTATCTAAATATTTAGCCATGGTATTAAATCCCCTAAAAATCCACTCGAAATCTAGACTAACTAATTCTTATGAACTAAAACACAGATTAGATAATTTAAAATTAGATAATGAAGAAAAAATGGTTAGTTTTGACATTGTCAGTTTATATACACGTATACCAATAAATATGGCTATAGAGGCAGTCAGAAACGAACTCATTTCTGACCAAGAACTCGAACTTAGGACAAAAGTGCCAATTGAGGACATAATGCTGGGAGTGCAGCTTTGCCTGACTTCTACAGTATTTAAATTCCAAGGGAAAATATACAAACAAACTGAGGGAGTTGCCATGGGATCACCAATATCCCCGGTGGTAGCAGATATATTCATGGATAGGTGGGAAAAGATAGCGATTGAAACGTTCACCCCCACCCCAAAAGTATGGTGGAGGTATGTAGATGACACATTCACTGTACTTAGAACACAAGATATAGATAGATTTTTCGAGCACATCAACTCGAAGGTAGAGGCAATTCAATTCACTTATGAATTGGAAAGTCAGGAAGGGGAACTTCCAATGTTAGATTGCAACGTAAAAAGGAAAGAAGATGGGAAGCTAAACACTAGTGTTTACAGAAAACCCACACATTCAAACAGATATTTGGATTTCCGATCATCCCATCCTATGTCAGTAAAAATAGGATTAGTGAAATGTTTAAATGACAGAGCACAAAAACTAAGTAGTACCAAGGAAAATCTAAGACAGGAAGTGACACACATAAAAGAAGCCTTGAAACTTAATAATTACCCGGATAAATTAGTCAAGAAATATGTAAGTAAATGTAAAAATAAAATAAAGAAGGATAACAGAGATAGTGATAATAATAATAATAATGATAACAATAATAATAATAATAATAATGGTAATAATAATAGTGATAATAATAATAATATTAATAACGACACCAACAATAAGGAATGTAAATCATCAACAATAATTCCATACAAAGAAGGAACCTCGGAAGCCTTACGCAGAATTCTTAACAAGGCAGGAATAAAAGTGGCATTCAAACCCACAAACTCAATTAGAAACAAGCTTTGTCGGTTAAAGGATCCTGTAGAGCCATTAAAACAAAACAATTTAGTTTATCTAATACCCTGCAATGATTGTGAGGTCAAATACATAGGTCAAACTAGTAGAACAGGGGCAGTCAGACTAGCCGAACATAAAAACCTAGCTAAATCTAGATTGGTTGACCCGAATAAGATAAGAAATCTAGAGAGTAGTTCAGCTATAGCACTACATGCAGTTACACACAACCATACAATAGGATGGGATAGGATGACAGTTTTAAAATCTAATGTCACAGGGTATAGGGAGAGATTGATAACAGAAGCTTTGTTTATCGAATCAACTGCAAATACATGTAATAGGAATGATTCAACACCTGTCCCAGATATATGGAAAATTCTACTGCCCATACAACAAATAGGAGAAGACAGAGAAAACTATAAAAATCAAATCTCGAAGTCGTGTGACAAAAATTGATATAAAAATTGATATGATTATGAACAATAAATTGTGTTCGAAACGTCATCCAGTATACAATACTGTTTCACTGTGTGATACATTTAATAATCAAACTAATATGGAATTACTTAATACCACAGTGCCCAAGTTTTACACATATATTAATAATGGTCTTATCAATAATAAGGATGAAAGTTGAGTCAATCTGTGATAACATGAATAATGAAAAACAGTATGATTAAACAAACAATTGTTCAGGTGGAAGTAGTCGATAAAGGCTAGTAAAAACAAATGAGCCGATTACGTAATGCTAGAGTGATTGTAAGGGAAGGAAATGAAACACGTTTATAATGAAGATAAGATTAAGGGATGATAAGAAAGGGGTTGTAAATATAAACATTGAGTGGTGTAGAAGTCTTCAGTTGGTTATGTCTTATTAGGCCAACAAGAGAGGGATAATGGGTGTACGAACTTCTTTTGAATGCATAGTTTAGGTTTAATAGTTCGAATGCCTATCGCCTCAGCTGTGTGCAGTAGACGAATACGAAGTCTATTAGAAAGATTCGGTGGGATACGATGAATGACTTTGAAGGCTTTCGTTTTATCGACTACATGATCACTATCAATTAGATGTGACAGAATTGAGCTACGGATTGTTTTTGTCTGTCCTTTGCCAGACCACGATGGGAGATGTTCACTAACACGTTGGCTAAGCTGTCTAGTAGTACGCCCAATATAACTGTCATCGCAGGTGCAGTTGAATTGATAAATACACATAGATGTGGCAAAACTGTCAAGCTTATCCTTCGTTTGCGTCCCAACCATTCTTCGGCTAGAGAATGACAAACATAGGTGTGCTGCGTTAAATGTTCTACGTATGCTCCTTGAAGGTCTTTGGAATAGAATCTCACTAGATAAGTCACCATTAAATTGTAACTTAATAAACAGAGGTTTCTTATGTGCAGTCATTGTCACAGGTTTTTTCTCTGATGGTTTCATATGTTTCTTTATGAAACTATTCGGATAACCCATCTCCGTCAAGGAATCGTGAGTATATTCAAATTCCTTTTGTAAGAGATCCTCCGTACATATCTTCCTTGCCCTGTATCTATCAAATCGCCACGGTGCTGATCATCGTTGTACAGAACTTGCAATGGTATTCAGCTCTCTATCTCAACTTCATTGGTTTTGAAAAGGTATTCGACAGCGTGGATCAAGAGGTGATTTGGCAACTACTTCACTACTAACGGGTGCTATCAACAAATATACGTTTCATCCAACAGTCGTACGACAATGCTGCATGCCAAGTAATCCACAACGAGAAACTTACGGAATCCTGCGAAATGAGCACGGGAGTAGGGCCTACTATCGCCAATGATTTTCCTGATTGCAGTAGATTAGATAATGCGACAGAAAACGGGCGATGAGGAAACAGGTATAAAATTGACTCACACAAAATACTTGGAGGATCTGGACTTCGCCAATGATTCTGTTTGTCTGATTTCCGACAAACTGGAAGATATGCAAGTGAAAAGCAACAAACTGGCAGAAGAAGCATCCAGAAAAGATAGGACTTCAGGTGAACATAGAGAAAACAGAGGTGATGAAGATTCCTGGGCAATACCAACGGCAACAACAACAGACAACAATCAGCCAGCATAAATGAGAGGAACCTGAAAGAAACAACCTACATCACCCACTGACCTTGGAAGCATCGTTTCAACTTCAGGCCAACGGAACTGACGAGGACATCAAAGCCAGAATCGGAAAAGGAAGACAAGCTTTCATTACTCTTAAGTCTGTGTGGAGGTCAACAGCACTCAGCATCAAAAATAAGATCCGGATTTTCAACTCCAATGTGAATTAATTACTACCATACTGATCAGAATCTTGGCACATCATAAACAGCATCTCAAACAAGCTTCAGACCTTCATTAACAGCTCTCTTTGCTCAACACTCAAGATCAGATGGCCAGTAAAGATCAGAAACAGCGATCTCTGGTAGAGAACCAACCAACCACGAACCGATTGTGAAATAAATAGGCAGGAAGAAATGGAAATGGATTGGCCATACTCTGAGAAAACAAACCATCAAGTGACATCACTAGACAAGCCATCGCTCGAGTGGAACCCGAACGGGAAGCGGCGAGTTAGTCGTCCGACGGTGGAGTGACTTGGAGGAGGTCATGTGAAGAGGAGATGAAAGCGTGTGGACAGACTTGGAGACGGGTGAAAAAGTTGTCAGAAAACCGAACGCAATAAAGTTGCGCAGCTGAAGCCCTATGTTCCTCTAGGAATGAAAGGATATTATTGTTATTATAGATCTTACTTCTAACCAATGATTACCAACCAACCAATAGAATTTTAAAAAGAAATGACATGTTATTAACAAACCAAATAAATAAATAGATAAATAAGTAAACTTACTTTTCAAGCATTTTATTAAACTCTTTGATAAATTCATAATTAAGTCGAGTTATCTAAAAGTTTTTTTTAAATGAAATTTTAAAAATGACAAAAAATATGCGAAATCAGATCACGAATAAAATATTACATAATTCTAATGCTAAAAAACTTGATGAAAGTAGATGTTTAATCATAATGAAAGAATGTTGTTGCTGGTATTATTATTATTATCAAAGAAAGAATAAGCAAAAAAGAATATCGTATGATCTATTGAAACATTGAACAATGAACCAGACATTGAACACTGAAATGAACATATAGTCAGAGACTGTTGTGTGTGTATGTGTGTGTCTGTAGGTGTTGTTGACTTTGATAATAATAAAATGTAACAAAGAAGGTAGTGAGTTTCTTTTCTTTGTAGTTGTATTGATTATTCCTACTCATAATATTATGATTTCTTTTCTTTTGTTCTGTTTTGCTTTTTTATTTTTCTATGATATGAATAGTTGTGTTACGTAAAATCGTACGTTTAAACTATTCAGTGAACTGGCGATTCTACTAGACTGTATATCACACAAAGTGGAGTCATTTGGAGTAAATATAAGCAAAATAAAGTAGGAAGAGTATTCATTTGAAGTGTTTCATATAGAGAGTTTTAAATTTCACTTTGTTTTGTTTCTCTATTGGACAGCCAGCTGTTTCCTCTGTCCCAGTTTGGAACTCTTCATCAGTACGTACCCATCACCACGTGGGGGTGGGTTAGCACCTAGGTTCTTCTGATTACAAGGCTAACAAGTTCGTAGAGCATTAAGACACTGCGACCCACGAATACAATGGCCTGTCAATTAATTCTAACTTCTGCCTATTCATGATATAACGCGACCATTTCGCAATGTCTGATTCTTCGATGAGTTACTGCCTCACCTTTAACCTGCTGCTGTATATCAATTTTAGTCATTATTGTTCCCCTGGGTTCCTAGTGGAATATACGGCTTCAACTGCACGTCTCCATTTGCTTCTGTCTTCTGCTGTACCTTTCACCTGCATCCATCTTAGTCTATACTATCTCAACTTTTCCTCACACGATCTCCTCCATGTCACCCTCCCTTGGACGTCCTACGCGCCTCTTCCCTTTCGGCTTTCACTAGAGAGCCTGACGCACGATGTCACCAACCGGCCTCCTCAACGAGTGTCCAATCCATCTCCACTTTCTCTTGCATATTTGTTGGTTGGCGATTAGTTCTTATTTTGATTGTTTGTTCCCATAGTTTCTTTTTGGTGATTCTTTCCGGCCCGGCCATCTGATCTTCAATATAGAGCGAAGACACTTGTTGGTAAAGGTCTGCAACAGGCTGCTGGAAATATTCTTTGTGACCCTCCAAGTTTCCGATCCGTATAGAAGAACTGAATCGACGTGTTTGTGTTGAAAATCCGATCGAATTTTGTTGTTGATGCTGGCTGAGTGACGAAGATTTCCAGATTGGTTTCAGGTTGATGAATGTGTGTGTTTCCCGCCTTCCTGATTCTCGCTCGATTTGATATCCTCGTCCGCTCCAATTGCGTGTAGTTGAGACTATGATCCCTAGATAAGTGAGTGAATGAAGTGACCTCTTTCAAATCCCTCCCGTTGATTAACGGTGGATCTTGCTGTTGTTTTTGTTGTTGCTTGATTATTTTCATAACTTCCGTCTTGTCCATGTTCACCTGGAGTCCCGTCTTCGCTTCTTCGACCAGTTTGTCAGTCGGTTTTCGCTTGTAAGTCTTTGATTGTGTGTGACATCAAACACAAATCATCCACAAGCGAAATCCAGGTCTTCTAGGTTCTTCACGTCAGTCCAGGATATTCCTGTCTTCTCGTTTCCCACTATCTGACGCATAATCCAGTCAGTCCACCACAATTAGGAATATCATTGGTGATAATACACAGGCAGCCTTGTCTGACTTCTGTGTTTACTCCAAACGTCTCTCTGAGGTTTCCGTTGTGGATCACTTGACATGTGCCATTGTCATACGGCTTCATAATTTGTCTTATATATATATATATATATATATGTTCCTCTCTTTACGTCTCATTCCAACTTCCCTTTGTTGTTTGGTGCCAGTTTCCATATCTTTCGGATAGGTACTGGTGTAACAACAGAAGACAAGGGCCAGGCAACAGATCGTTTTATTATGAAAATCAACACGTATTTATACACCTTTCAACTACATTATTATAGACAAGTGCAGTCATCTGATTGGTTGTTTAGGTAGACAAACGCAGGCTTCTGATTGGTTGTTTCGGGATTCCTTGACAAATAGAGTTCTCTCTGCGAATCATATTTTGCCACGTTAACTTTGCTGTGATTGGTTGTTGACTCAGGCTTGTTCATATCTTCTCACGGCCCACATTAGTGACCTAGACCTTAACGTAGATTAGTGCCAACCAATCGGCTAGCAGCCTGCTCTCACCACACTCGTCCCCCCATCAAATACGTGCGACTGAAGTCGGCTTGATCTACTTGGTGCAGGCGTCATCGTTGGCTTGTCTCGCTGTATCCATTTCTGGAGCTCGCTGACGTTCACGCGCCTCTCATTGTTCGCCATTGCGACTGTGTCTGCGTAACCCCATCTCGAAGTGACCATTTGTTTTCGAACCCTTATATGCCGCTGTCGAATCAGAACACGTGCATGATGGATACTTCTTGCCAGGCCTAATTTGAAAACCTGAGTTTGTAGTCTTCGTTCCAAAAAATCTTCTATTTTTAAACCAAGAACGAAATCCAGCTTCATCCTATCTTCAGGTAAGACACCAACTCGTACTAAACGCCTAAGCAGTGCGGACCCTCCGAAGAGCCTGCGAGGGTCTTTCTCATCCAGGGTAAGCAATTCACGAGCTGACTTGCGTATTTTCGCCAACACAAACTTAACTCGCCAAACTTCCCGTTTGTTGCGCAACCCATATTCACCGACAAGTTTCAGCTCCTGGTCTAAGCGCTCCTTTTCGAATGGTCTTCGCGGAGTTGCATAGGTCTTCCCGAAAACTTTTGGGACCCTGCTCATTTCTCACAACGGATCAACGTGATCCTGGCAGCGACACCAAATGTAACAACAGAAGACAAGGGCCAGGCAACAGATCGTTTTATTATGAAAATCAACACGTATTTATACACCTTTCAACTACATTATTATAGACAAGTGCAGTCATCTGATTGGTTGTTTAGGTAGACAAACGCAGGCTTCTGATTGGTTGTTTCGGGATTCCTTGACAAATAGAGTTCTCTCTGCGAATCATATTTTGCCACGTTAACTTTGCTGTGATTGGTTGTTGACTCAGGCTTGTTCATATCTTCTCACGGCCCACATTAGTGACCTAGACCTTAACGTAGATTAGTGCCAACCAATCGGCTAGCAGCCTGCTCTCACCACACTGGGTCATTCCGATTGCACGTGTGCGGTGTTGAATCCATTATCAAAGCTTCACTGATCAAGCTCTTTGCCTCTCCACCAAACCACGATATTACCTCCCAACACTCTCGCCCTATCCCATCCATCCTATCGTAGTGGAATTGATTACATGTAACTTAATGCTGTGCAGTCCAGTGGCTGAGCATTTTACCAAGTTACCTAATTTGTCAGCATTAATCACATTCTAGGTTTAGCTAAATTTGTATTTTCCAATAATCTAGTTGATCGCTACCTACTAGTTTGATGGCCTTTGTAATTGACCTCACTCACATGCATTACACATGGTATTTGGTAAATAATTTTAATTTTTCCAATTGGATCTATGGGGTGATTAAGACGACAAAGTTTATCTTTGAGAGAGTTAAATGTTTTTATAATGGGGCTAAGAGCTCCGCTGGTAAGCCAGGAGAGTTTAAATAGTGAAATCAAACAAATAAAAGAGGTATTACTGGCGAATAACTACCCACCAGTCTCTCTTAAGAAATATATGAAGAAACATAGAAAACTAAAATAAGATAAAAAAATATAAATGATGAAAATAATACAGAATTCAAAGCCTCTGTAGTATCATCCTCTTATAAAGAAGAAACTTCAGAAGCTTTACGTTGGATTCTCAATGAGGCTAGCATTTAAATCAAGCAATCAACTCTCTCAGAGATAAACTTTGTCAGATTAATCACCCCATAGATCCAATGAGGAAAAATAATATAATTCATCAATACCATGTGAGTGAGATCAAATACATAGGCTATCAAACTAGTAGATTGAGCTTATTTAGATTATTGGAATATAAATATTTGGCTTCACCTAAGAATGCTTGACCTTGCTGGGTCAAATAACCCAGAAAAAGTTAGCCCATAGCACTGCACTGCATTCACTTGCATGTAATCACACAAAGATAGGGTGGATGGAATAGGGTGACAGTAAGTAATCAAAAGTAATATAGTTAGGTGAAGCCAGAGAGAGAGAGGGAGAGGTTAGTCACTGAATCTTTGTTTATCGATTCAACACTGCACATGTGCAATCGGATTGACGCAACGCCTATCCGGAAGATATGGAAAGTGGCTTCAAAAATAACATGGGGAAGTTGGCGAGAGCCGGAAAGAGGCAAAAACGCATATGTAAGACAAATTATGAAGCTATATGACTAAAACTGATGGGATTTTGAGCATCAATAGTTTATGCTCGAAATCTTGTCAACCAGTTGTTAAAACAGCACCACATTATCACTGTGTGATAGTTAAAATAGCCTTGTTTGTCTTGTTTTAAAATGACATCAGAATAATGCTGACAGTTAACTAATGCATGTGCTAGGAATTTATAAACGTTGAAAATTCTGTGATTCATTCAATCATCCTGTATACCTCTTACATCTAATCTCAAGATAGCCACATAGCAAACCTGACTGATAGAATTCGGCCTACACCCTACAAAGATGACTAGATACACCACACTAGTTACTAGTGGCCAGTCAAATTATCCTATACAGTCCTACAGGAGATCAGTCGCGAGCCCAAAAAGCTGGCTCAGTGGTAATATCTCCAACTGCACTACTGTGTGGCGTGGGTTTGAATCTCAGAAGGGATATGAGTTCCTTCAAGACGGTTGTAGATACGCCTTGTTAACTGTTGAGTGCCAACTAGCACGAAACCTATGTCCTGGCAGGGCTTCCTGTGTCCGATTGCCTCCAACCATCTAATATCATCAAATCAATGTCCACCGTGATGGTGAGCTGCCTAGAATGGTGATCACATTGCAAACCTGACTGATTCATTGAATCCAGTCTGCATCAAAATAAAGCACTAGTCAGACACATCACACTAGTTACTTATGTCCAATCAGGAATCTCAAGATTAGTTAATTAATTATCCCACTCAACACAAATAGATAATAATAACCGAGAATATGTAAGCCATCTGTCCTTAACGGCCCTGATAGTGTGTAACTTTGTATTGAGGTCAGTTGAACAAAATATATACGGCATAGTATTCAGTGGATACATAATCAGAAGTTAAGTGAACATCTCCAGACATACTGAATATTTAATGCCTTCGATAAAAAAGTTAACTCGATTTTTCAAACTTCATACAAGTACTCATATTTAGCCTGTTCCATAGTGTGCGAGATGCATCAGTGGTATAGCGGCTAGGACGCTCGCCAACCATGCACACGGTCCGGGGTTCCAGCCCTGGCCGACGCACTCCTTTACCTCACTGAGTCAGAAATAATACTGGTAAAGAGGAAAGGTTGGGGCTTTAGACTAGCAACCCCATCCTGTAAAATAAACACTGCTACAGAAACTTCAAGCCACTAGCTTGAAGCACTCTCTCCCACTGGGGAACGTGAAGGAAGACAGAGGTGATGTAGTTACACAACCAATGACAACAATAACAACTCTGCCAATCAATGTCAATTCAAATGCCCTTACTCCTTTCCCTCATGACACTAAGCAGTAAGCAGCATTTCAACCACAGAGGTGATACACAGATGAAGAGGTCAGACTTATTCCTGTCACGCCTAGAAACCTGTACCTTACAGCAACATATACAAAAAAACGGATGTATACCTAAGATATGTTGATGACATTTTCATTGTCTGCGGAAGCAGATCAAAAGCCGATGACCTTCTGTTGATAAAATTCAACTCCTCATACCATCCGAATCTCAAATTCACAATTGAAAACAAAGAAAACGATACTATTAAATTCTTAGACGTTTTCGTATATATATTTAGAAAGTCTTCATGGATAGGACAGTGCATGCATTTCAAAAGAACTGAGTAAGAAAACTGTTCAATAGAGCATGGAATATTTGTCCTGAGAACGCAACTGACCATGAGATAAAAGCTCTGAAGGATATTTTATTTAAGAATGGATATCCTGAGAAGTTCATTAATAAATATTCTAAAGAAATGAGCTTCTGTAAAACTATCCAAACAGCTCCAAAGAAATCTGTCTATATCAGTTTGCATCTCAAAGGAGATGATGTACAAGAAGTAGTCAAACGAAGACTCGACAAAGCCATCAAGAGAACTTATTATGCTGCAAAACTTGTTATCCTTTAGACCACTAAGCGAGCGCTTCAACAATCTTGGAAAGACCAGTCGCCAATCCTCGACACTACAAACTGCTGCGTATATCAATTTGAGTGTGTTTCTGGAAGCAAATACGCATAGGTCGTACAGAAGGGCAATTGTCTACTCGCATGATGAAGCATTCGCCAGAATGGTTGAAAACAGCTGAGTGCAAATTACCAAAATCCTCAATAAAAAAAAACATCTTGTAGATTACGGGCATGATATCGACGCGGTCAAGTCATTCACTATTGCCGGTAGACAAAGAAACAAGAAGATGCTTGCAATTGCAGAGGCTTGTGCAATTCGAGTTCAGAAACTAGGTCTCTGTATACTAAAGGAGATGGTCGTGACTCTGAATCTACCATGGTGATACGTTTTACTTATTATTCTACCTCTTATTATTATTCTGGATTCATTTGAAACTATCCTTTATCAGTAGGATTATCTCAACTCACTTCAACACTATTATTATTATTGTTATTATAACTATTACTATTGATATTAGTCTGTTTGCAATTCTCGTTATATTCCCTAATGACTAATTGTCTATCTAAATGATGTAATTGAAGCGTAATGCAATTTATTTTAATTTTGATCTCTCATACCCCTCTCTCTCGCCTTATCTATTTGAACATGACCTGTAAAACATTCGCACGTGTCCTTCTGCATGACTAATTCAATGTAGTTTGTTTACTTATCAGTCTTATATCTCCCAATGTAATTTCAAAAGTACATATATCCGTGTATGTAGAGTTCTCAGCTGACGAGTTCTACCCAAATTTGATAAATTCATTAAATCCTGATTTATTTAACTTTATTGCTTGTTTTAAGAGATCAAAGAAGACCAGAATTGAAAAGGCAAGACAGATCTCCTTTAATCTGTCACCAGTGTGGAAATCTATTCCATATCGGATAATAAATGACAAGGTTTAGATTTTCAAAAGAGATTTTAAGTCAGCGGTCACTGCTTCTACGCAGTTTAGAGATATCACTTGTCACTGAAAGAATTTTTCGAATAGGCTCTGGATGGTTATCGATGTCCGTCTTTGCCTCATAGTGAAGATCAGCTCGCCAACAGAAAAGGATTAGTAACAAAGACAAAAGGTACACTAGGTCGTCGAGTAAAACCTAAATGGAAGACATAGACTTGTATGTTGGTCCAAGGACAACGTGGAGGAGAGTTGGTGTGTACTGAGGGGATGAGAGCTAACTGCAGAGAATAGGACGAAAAAGAGGTGTGCACTTGTGAAGCCATATATTCCACTTAGGAAATTAAGGAATAATAAAAGTAATAATAATCGTACGACTGTCTTTTATATTGTTTCCGTTTACTTTTACGTGGATTTTCCGTAGATGAGGGAACTTGCCCCAAATTGAACATCTCCGAAAAGTTCTATGCAAACAAGTTAATCGGTAATTTAATTGAATTTTAGATTTCCTGTCGATTTATTGGACAGAAGTGCTCATTCTCAGGGTTAACATGTCGGCTCCTCCTTGTGCAGATGCGCTTCAACAATGTCTGGGTATGTAATTAGAAGTTAATTCATGGATGGTGACTAGCAGTGAAATCAAAGATAACGTCCATTTCGACTAGTTTAGGACTCGTTATCTGGATGTACCTGCATTCCCCGGTGAGTGATAATCTTCCCACCGAGGCTCACACCCAGTTCCCATAGTTTCAAAACGCCAAAGCGTTATCCACTAGACCCCTTTGGGTTCGAGTCTTAGTGGGAACATCATCAACACTCACTGGGGGGAATGCAAGCACATCCAGTTGACGATTCCAAAATAAAAGGATAAAATGCGCCTCTTGGCTGGATTCCACTGCTAATCACCATCTACCAATTATAGTTAATCCGTAATTCAGGAAATGTCACTGTCACTTGATAGTGAAGTCTGCTCTGAAAATGTTACCTAGAAACACAATTAGGTCTAACACCTCAAAGAACACAGGTGTATCAATATTATCCACAACAGCTAGAAATCTTGGTTTCCAATAATTATTCTGACTAATTTTCATCTCGTATTGTATAATTTACAAACTGTAAATTTGAAAACATGTCTATACCATCAAAATAAACAAATCACTCTAATCATAATTACAAACGAATTCAAACAAATGTGTGTTCAATTAGCATTGAAAAATGAACAATTAACCCATGATTACCTTTGTTTTACGCCAATCCATTAAAGCATCTCTCAATACAGTTTCCAATTCAAATTTTATATGCTCAACTTCACGTGATTCTAAACTAGCATATAACAGTGTTTTTGGTTGAATAGTTTCTAGAGAAGCTGATGAATTATTCAGAACTTCAGTTTTTGAGAATACAGGTAACCAACATTTTGTGGAAGTTAAATCCCAAACTAGTTCCCAGGGTTCTTTCTTTTGTTGAATGTTAGCTAAAATCTTCAGGTGTAGAAATAAGAAAATCGAATTTTAGCGAAGTTTAAAAACACTAAATGTGTTATATTCAAGTGTTGGTTTTGCAGGGATTTCATGGGGTTCAGGATTTCTTAGTACAACCAACCAAGGAGAACTCAACGGCGGTTTCGTCCTAGTCATGGACTCTTCATCAGTATGCTTCCACTAAGGTTCGAACTGAAGACCTTCTGGTTACACGGCGAAATGGTAAACCATTACGCCAGTGGGATCTGATTCAGTGGTCCAGCTTCTTCTAATTCATGAAATGGTGCGACCACTAGCAAATGTCATCGGTGAGTATTTCTCCTCAAACCCGACTTGCTGTATTCTTCTGGACAAAAAACTGCCTATGTGAATAAAGCCAGTCACTAGTGAGCATTAGATTGATATTCAAGGTTTCAGGATTTCATCGTGAACTGATATCAATTAGAGGACCATTGGAAACCCAACGCGAAAGTACCAGATAGCTGTTTCCCCCTAACTGAGGATTCTTCAACAGTACGCATCCACCCCCTGCAGGGTTCTGGTGAGCGATCTCGTAGTGCAGTTAGCCACTGGGACCTGATCTATTAGCTAGTGCATTAACCAACTTCTGTCAATTCAAAATAAGGTGCGACCAGTAGTGGATGTCACCGGCGAATGTTTGTCCTCACACCCGACCTTGTGTAACCCACTGGTCACGACTTCCTAGTAGAAGCAAGAAAACTGCCTACCTGAATGGTGCCAGTCATTAGTGGGCATCAAATTGATATTGAAGTGTTGGTTTGCACTGCCTGGGTACGAACACCAGTGGTTGCCTTCTGCTGAAGTCCCAAACCAGAATTATATAACTGTCCAGTACTCCCAGGTTTTTCTAATGTTCCTGTAACGGATATCAGTTTATGATGAAACCTTGAAATTAATGAATGAGTTAACTCACCGTCTAATAGTTGGCAGTCAGACTAGTCAAACATAAAACCCTCGCAAAATCTAGATTAGTTGACCTGAATCAGACAAGAAATCTAGAGAATAGTTCAGCTATGCCACTCACTGCATGCAATTACACACGCACAATCATACAATAGGATAGATGGGATAAGATGACAGTTTTAAAAACTAATGTAACAGCAGGGTGGAGGGAGAGATTGATAAAAGAAGCCTTCTTTATCGAATCAACTGGAAATACATGTAATACAAATGATTCAACATCTGTCTCAGATATCTTGAAAATTCTTCCAGCACTACGACGACAAATAGGACAGAACGAAGAAAACTACAAGAATGAAGTTTCAAAGTCGTGTGATTGTAATTGATGAAATAATTAAGAACAATAATAAATTCTGTTCGAAACATTGTCATCCAGTAAATAATAATAATGCTGATTTTTCTGAACATTCAGAAAAATCTTGTTTATTATTTTCTTAACACGCTGGGATTAATTTAAATAATTTATAGTAATTTAAAAAATTTCTTGTTCTGACTGTCCGACTAAATATGTGGGACAAACACGTTCAGATCACTCAAAATAAGAGTGAATGAACATAAACGCCTAACTAAAAGGTCAACCAACAGGGACACAAGCCTACAAAAATCTTGAAAAAAAATTCATCGATAGCTGCACATGCATGGGACAAAAACCACAATATCGATTGGAACAATGTGTGTATTCTAAATATGAACTAACATGAATAAATGGAAAGAGAGAATTAAAACAGAATCTTTATTCATTAAGGTCACACCCAATTCATGTGACAAGGGCGACTCAGCAGCACAACTGTCAACAACCTGAAATATAATTCTGAATACACAAAAATGAATGAACTAAACAGGGAACTATATAAATGAGTACAAACCATAAATCTGTGAATTAACAAACAAAACAATTTCAACAGTTAGTGTGAACATGGGCAGTAATTTTGCTGAAAATATTACCACAACACAAAAGCAACTTATCATTAACACAACTCAGGTCAACCTGAGACCGAGCACTTTGGTCAAATCAATCGACGGGAAAATCAAAAATTGAATTCAATAATTAATATGAACCGCTGCACAAGAGGTGGCTCTCGTGGCACAAGTGGTCTAGTCGATAAAGCTTTGGCGTTTGAAACTATGGGTACGGAGTTCGAGCCTCGGTGGGATCATCATCACTCACTGAGGAATGCAGGTACATCCAAATGACGAGTCCCAAATAGGACGAAATGCGCGTTATCCTGGATTCCACTGCTAGCTACCATCCACCAATTGTATACTAATTTCTCTTCAGGTTCTTACAATTATAATATATGTGTAAAACGTGGGCACTACGGTAGTAGGTAATTCCATACTAGTCTGTTTATTAGATACATCACACAGTGAAAAAGTATTGTTATTATTTACTGGATGACAATGTTTCAAACAAAATTTATTGTTCATAATCATTTCATCAATTATAATCACACGACTTCGATACTTGAGTTTTACACTTTTCTTTGTTATCTCCTATTTGTCGTCGTAGGGCTGGGAGAATTTTCTAGATATCTGGGACAGGTGATAAATCATTCTTATTACATGTATTTCCAGTTGATTCGATAAAGAAGGCTTCTGTTATCAATCTCTCCCTCCACTCTGCTGTTTCATTAGATTTTAAAACTGTCATCTTATCCCATCTCTCCTATTGTATGGTTGTGTGTGATTGCATGTAATGTTATAGCTGAAATATTCTCTAGATTTCTTATCTTATTTGGGTCAACCAATCTAGATTTTGCTGCTAGGTTTTTATGTTCGGCTAGTCTGACTGACTGTCCCTGTTCTACTCGTTTGAGCTATGTATTTGATCTGACAACCATTCAATCAGGGTATTAGATAATCTAAATTGTTTCCTTTAAAAGGCTTTACAGGATCCTTTAACCGACAAAGCTTGTTTCTAATTGAGTCGTGTATTTATAATTGATGTGATTACGAGCAATAAGTTTTGTTCGAAATATTGTCATACAGTAAGCAATACTGTTTCACTGAGTGATACATATAACAAACAAACTAATATGGAATAAACGGCTATTATTTACTTCAGCAACAGTTTCACCTTTGAACGTCACACCATTTTAAATAGTGTCTTCTATGGCACTGTGACTTTTCTGGGGACAGTTGCTTTCTTAGTGTTTATGTCAATAAACCTTCTAGGATATCCATTATTTTCAAGAGAATCAAATGTCAGTCTAAACGAAGAATATTCTTCTCAATAATTCCTCTACTTCAGGTTCTTACAATTAAAAAGTATAATAATATTTGTTGTCGTTACAATGAAGGCCAATTGTGCGGCGGATACACTTTTTACGTAGAACAACAGATTAATTATGCAGTGTAAAAATTAATAGTCGTGTTTTTGTGACAAACGTCGTGCTAGGCTGAAATCGATTACCAAAATATTGTAAAACGGAAGACAATAGTGGTGATTAGTCGTCGGTGTGCGTCGGTGGTATAGCGGTAAGGACGTTTGCCGACCATGCATATGGTCCGGGTTTCGACCCCCGGCCGGCGCACTCCCTTACCTCACTGAGCCAGAAATAATGCTGGTAAAGAGGAAAGGTTGGGCATGAGGCTAGCAACCCCATCCTGTAAAAATTAAACACTGCTACAGAAACTTCAAGCCACTAACTTGAAGCCCTATGTTCCACTGGGAACGTGAAGGAAAAATTATTAATTTTTTTTTTAGTCGTCATAATAGATTTGTAGAATGTGGGGTAGGAAAATTGACAAATCAGTTCAAGGTTATCGAAGGTGTCAGGTGAGTGAGTGGCTAGTACAAAGTGGTCTGTGGTAAACAGGAGATAGTAAGACTGACTGCAATGAGAGGTTCATAATGAGATAACGAATATGTTAAATGAAACAGGTGGAGGCATATATCAAGAAAAGACATATTATCACTAATTATAAGTTCGTATAAATGAAAAATTCTATAGTATTGAGGGAATGTTTGCATAAAGGCCATAAATTATGACGAATAATAATAATAACTATTTCATACATTTATTCCCCTTAATGAATTTGAACAATGCAAGAACTACAGTTTTAGCAGAATAAAATGGTACCATCTTTTATTTCGTTGTTTAAACTGAACTCTGTGCAAGTATGTTAAAATTGTTGTTGTAGATATATTTAATAATGTCTTTGCCATGTAAGCAGCTGACGAGAAGGCAACGAAATAAGCCATGATGGTACCATTTAATTCTGCTAAAACTGTAGTTCTTGCATTGTTCAAATAATAACTATATCAATAATAATATTTGTAATAATAACAAATATTATATTTTATAATTGTAAGAACCTGAAGTAGAGAAATTATTGAAAAGAATATTCTTCGTTCAGATTGACTTTTAATTCATAATATGGGAATATTTCACACTATCAAATCTTATCATTATGTGTAAACCATTCAAATATAATTATACTTTATTTGATGTATTCCAAAATGATCGAACTTTTTACTGACATTAAACCTCTGAATTATTCTATAAATAGCATCAATTGTTTTGCCACTTGACACTTGATGTTTACCTATGATTATAATCACAAACATTTTAGTTTTAATTGCATTTCATACTACTACTACTACTATTATTTTATGTATTCACTCTCACCTATGACTGAATTCGTTCCCCGGATATAGATTCTTAAAATCTATACAAATATATGCGATTGTGTAACTTGATAATGAACTCATTTAGAACAGTCTGTTCCCTGAATCACTTGGTTTGATTTTCTGTATATCAGAGGAGCTTTTCTAATCAGAACATTGAAATAAATAATCTTTTTCTAGTGAAATCTAAGGAGATTTGTGAAGTGAATCCATTTTTTTCTTGCAAAATTCACATAAATTAAAGTATGTTCATCGTCTCCTCCGTTAAACTCAATTCATAAATGGAATTGGAATCTCCAAGACTGTTCTTATTCCCAGTAGATGTACTTATTTTTGAATCAAACTATGTGAGTTATTTAAAATTCCCTTAACCCGAAGAGAACTTACATGTAGTACACTTATTATTCCATAGTGAATCATGCGGTGGGCAGAGATCCTGTGACTAAAATCATGTGACTAATCTAAATATGCCATCGGGCAAGTTAGTAGTCATTTTTTTGTTAGACAAATATACTACTCATAAGTAGTCTCTTTGTGAAAGGTCGGATTAAACTATTCGATATATGCTTACAAATTGGGCACTGTGGTAGTAATTAATTCCATATTAGTTTGTTTATTAGATGTGTCACACAGCGAAACAGTATTATTATTATTATATATATATATATATGTATGCTCAACTTACATTTTGTGAATTGACTAGCCCCCAAACAGAACGCAATGGATTATTAACATCGTGAACGGAATAATTTTGCCCAGTAACAGGATTCCATAAACGCCAATTGATTGATTCAGTAATATGCTTTTGTGAAATAAAATCTTCGGTCATTATGTAAACTGTACGACCTAAAAGTTGCCATAATTGAAAAATGTGGCGTAATTTCAATAATCTTGTTAACAATTTAAATAACGCGGGGTTGTTTGTTTAAGTTTCTACTTCTATTTCTCAAGTATTCAGTCACTGTCAACTTCTCGTATGAACATCTCTAAAATTCCTTGACATAATAATAGTCTTATTTAGTTATTAGCATACAATTGGTGGATGGTGATTAGCAGTGGAATCCAGGATAACGCGCATTTCGTCCTATTTGGGACTCGTCTCCCAGCTGGATGTACCTGCATTCCCCAGTGAGGAGTGATGATGTTCCCACCGAGGTTCGAACCCAGTGCCCATAGTTTCAAACGCCAAAGTGCTATCCACTAGAATATTTTGGACACGAGAGCCACCTTTTGTCCAACGGGTCGTATTCATTATTGAATTGACTTTTAGATTTTCCCATCGATTGAGGTGATAGAAGTGCTTGGTCTCAGGTTGACATGTCAGCTTCTTGTAACCCATTGCACAAGAGGTGACTCTCGTGGCCTAAGTGGTCTGATGGATAATGCTTTGGCGTTTGAAATTATCGGCATTGGGTTTGGGCCTCGATGGGAACACTATCTCTCACTGCGGAATGCAAGTACATCCAGATGACAAGTCAGTCCCAAATAGATAGAAATGCACATCCTGGATTCCACTGCTAATCATCATCCACCAATTAAATCCTAATTACATGCCTAGACATCGTTGAAGCATCTAGACAAGAAACCTAAAATATCAACCTAAGACCGAGCACTTCGGTTCAATCAATCGACAGGAAAATCAAAAATCAATTAAATTACTTAGTTATGTTTTACATTTCCCAGTTTAGTGGGGATTTTCTCAATGGTACTCAAAATTAGCATCGTTCATGTGAAATGGCAGAGCATTGCTGAAGAGGCCAGTGGTTAGAGAAAGTGAATTATTGTGCATCAGATAGGAGAATTTGATGATGATGATGAAATCCTGCAACCAATCAAACAAAAACTGATCTGATGCTCACTAGCGACTGGTCCTATTCAGGCAGTTCACCGGGTTTTCTAGTGGGAAGCCATGACCAGTAGGGTGCAACATGTTGAAGGTAAGGCAGTAACTCACCGAAGATGATATTGTAAAGTGGTTGCGCTGTGTCATGAATTGTCAGAAGCTAGAATCCATGAGCTGACCATTTGAATTGGTGGGTCCCAGTGGCTTAAATTTTTACAAACTCGCTAGCCTTGTTACCAGAAGGTTGTAGGTTCGAACCCTGGCTGCGGGGTAGGTGCGTACTGATGAAGAGTCCCTAACTATGTCGACGAAACAGCTGTCCAGTACTCCCTATGGCTGGTTTTCGAATGATTCTCTAACCGACGTCAGCTCATGATGAAATCCTCCAACGAATTTGTTATACCTGTAAGTAGTTTTTCTTCGTGATGATTTGTACTGAAACCATCAGAATATACTATAGGTGGGTACCTGTTCTCTAATCTGAATTGATAGATCCCGCTGTACACTACTTCTTACTAGAACGCCAGATAATTTTCGGTTGACGGCTAATCTCTCTCTCTCTCTAGTGAGCATTAATTTTCAGAGATTTGATTGGTTACAGGATTACATCATGAGGTGACATCAATTAGAGTACCATTGAAAAACTGGCAGGCAATACTGGACAACTGTTTTCCGTCCGTGTTCACGTCTGTCCAGCAGTATACACCCACCAAGGTTTCAACCCATAGCTTTTCAGTTGCAAGACAAGCTCACAGAGCATTCTCACAGTCACTGATATGGCGACATATATCAAACACTTAAGTCCGATGAATTCAAACAAAGGATGAATAGAGTTCACATAGCTTAGAGATAACTAAAGCATCCAGAAGTGGAAATAAAAACTAGTGAAAGGAATAAAATTATTATTCATCATGAAGTATTATCACTTGTGAAACATCTCCTTTTTTGTCTCACCTTCAGGAACTGCTTCACCAATACATAAATACACTGAGGTAACTGGTGACTTGAATGATTGATTTGAAGTAGTTGGAACATTGGAGGTGTCAACATCATCACCAGTGTTATCCATAGTATTAAATTTCAATATGTACATAAAATAACAAGCCAGGAGTACTGCGTGTTCTTCTTCATCACCACGAAGCATACTTAAAAATTGCTAAGTAATATGAACATGCGAAAATTAAAGTTAAACTTTAACCCCACTCGCGTATTAAAAATAAAAAAAATAGTTAAACCTCATATCTGCTTTCATTATGAATAAAGTCTGCGGGAGGATAAGGGTGCAGTGATCAAAACGAACTCAATGTGTTCTCAAGGCAAGATACCAATCTCTTAATCCTAATATTTAGTTGTCCCAAAACATCCCTGAGACACACATTCAATCACAAAAGAACGATTATTCCTCCATTAATCTGCACCCACCGTGGTTTGAACCCAGGAACTTCTGGTTACAAGGCGAGCTCGTATACCCACTCTTGTTTTTTCCAAAACTTTGTCCAATCACATGAGTTATGTAACAAGTATTAACATGTCTTATAAACAAAATTGTAATCGATTTCAGCCTAACAAGTATGTCGCAAAAGTACTATTTATTTTAACACCCCGTAAGCATTCTATTATTCTACGCAAAAGATTATATGAACTGTAATCTTATATATATATATATATATATATATATATATATATATATATATATATATATATATGGGTGAACAGTCATCAAAAATTTGTTAGCCTCTCCATAAGAAGATATAGACAATCGAGAATTTTCACCAGACATGAATTAGTGATACATATCCACAAAACCTGATGAAAATGTAAGAAATCAATGTCGTGAATCATGTTAGGCAGAAAGGCTCAAACAGTAGTGATCTCTGAATCAAAATTAATTCAAAATAGGGGTTTTATCACCAGATATTGGTAACTATGTTCTGACACTTTTACAATGCAAATTTCATCTACACGAATTTCTTGCGGGAATGTACCTCACTTATGTGGGTGGTTAATCAAAGCATGTGTCTACCATGAATGAAAATTTCACCCTAAAAATAAGAATGTAGTAATAAATGTGAAATGGAATGTGACGCACCAAGAGTTACTTACTTCTCCTACCTCACCTCTCCATTCAGAGGTGTCGTATTTTGGGCAGAGGCCTTACACTAATCTTCCTATATTTTCGCATTCCTTGCGAATAACATTTCTGTCTAATGCAGTGCAATCGTTGATCTATTTTTCAGCTTCTTTATATCTGCAGAGGTCTTTGGAACCATCTGTGGACATTGTTTATGCTCTTTCACTCTTATATTTATCTTTTTACGAGTTGATCACGGATTGATATCAGTTAGAGAACCATTGAAAACCAGGGAGTACTGGACAGTTGCTGTTTCATCCTAGTTTGGGGATCATCGGCAGTACGCACCCACTGGGATTCGAACCCAGGACCTTCTGGTTGCAAGGTAAGCTCGTATACCTGGTTTTCAATGGTTCTCTAACTGATATCAATCCGTGATCAACTCGTAAATACATAAGTAACCCTTACAAACCAAACTATAGAAAATTATATTTATCTGTCTGGAAGTTTCTCCTACACATAAAACAGCGTCACATTCCCCACAATTGATCCGGTACACACAATTCTATTGGTCGTCTTATTCTATTGCATCCTTAACCTTCACCACTGATCAGTGTAAGGTGTTCGTTGCACTGAAATACACTATTATGTCATAATCGTTAAGGATTCGCTTTATCTCACTCAAATTTTCTTTGCGGTAAGGAATCACCGCTGTACTAACCTAATTGTTAGCAGCAGGTTTCGATTCATCCTTATCTTCACATTTTAAATAACTTTTTATGAAGGCTTCAGGATAATTATTTGATTCAAGAGTGGACTGAACCAATTTTAGTTCCTTGCTAATCTCTTCCTCCTCACTAACTAGACTTTTGGCTCTGTTAATTAGATTCTTAGCCAAAGTTACTTTTGGTGGTATGTGGGTGTGCTCTCTGAAAATGTACACCTTAGATTCGTTTGGATTCATTCAAATAATGAAAGTTAGTCACTCCATTGACAGGGAATTATTACCGATAAGCAACACAAGTATAAAACTGGGCACAGAAATAAATCTTTACATCAGCAGCTAACTGTGTCCATAGAGAAGTCCAGAATTAGAGGTAAAGTTTTTGACGACACAAGGGAAGAAAACCAGATGCTGATATCAGACTATTGCGAAGTTAACCAGATGGTTGCAACAGCTTGCATAGGTTAGGCTATCATCAGATGACAACAGTGGCACGAAACCTCGGTCTAAGACTTCCTGCCGATTGCCTCCAACTATCTAATATCATAAAAGTAAACTAGCGTTACTGTAGAACTTCGGCATACTGTGATGCTAGGATGAAATTCCCCACTAGATAAGTCTATTTTAAATATCACATATTGATAATGTAATATTAATAACTGCATGAAATGGTTTCGAGCAGAAATTATTGCTGCTAATAATCATCAGTCAGTTTAGTCACACAGTTTCACATTTTGTCTTATACATATATTTTCTCTCTTCTTGTCTTTCCAACTTCACTTCGTTGTTAGTTGCCACTTTCCATACCTTAGGTATACGCGGTAGGTCATTGCAATTGCCGGTGTACAGTGTTGAATCGACAGACAAATCTCCACCTAACTATATTAATTTTCAATACTCCAATCTTGTCCTACTCTCTTGTATGAATACATGCAAGTGAATGTAATGAAATGGTTAAACATACTGATTATGCTAAATGCTTGACTTTGTTCCACTTTGTTTCTCTCGACCATGTCAGATGTTGATTCGATGAACAGGATATCCGTCTTTGCGGAGTTAGTCATTCCATACCTAGTACGCGACACCCAAAGGTTTTACTGTATAAAGAAGGGACATCTGAAACACTGTGTAGTAGATTCCTAATACACTAGGAATTACGATGGTGTTCAAACCTCTACACTCATTCAGGGATAAGCTGTGTAGACTAAAGGACCTTACTGACCTAAGTAGTCAGACAAGTAATCTTTTGGATACCTTGTGATATGTGTGAGATGAACTACACAAATTGCCTGGAACAGTAGGTTGGAGATAGTCAAAATATTGGGGCATAAGGGATTTACCGAGATATACAATCATTGGCTCCATGAAGATGATTGATTTTGAGAAAAACCCAGCAATTACAATACATAGATTAGCACACAATCACTTCTTATGGTGGGATGAAGCTACAGTAATATAGTTAAGTTGAGGAGAAAGGTTGACTGCTGACTTTTTGTTCATCGAATCTACAACTTGACGGAACATAACTCTATGCTTTGTGTCATGTAGACGTCTTTTTCCAGAGTAATAGCTAACACTTCCCTTACTGACGTGCGATGCTGCTCAATATAATCTTCTCTCTACAGTGTGGTTGCGTTCTTGCTAAGTTCACTCACGATTAGACATTATGGTAGACTGTCATTCTATACTGAATGAGTTTATTTTACTTACTGCATTGTTTCTAACTGTCTCATCCCCTTCTATGATCATGTATAAATGAATGCATTGCTCAACTTAGCAGTTTCAAACAAACAGTTGTCGTGGTGTGATGCAGACAATGTGTGCCAACAGAATATTATATTCATACTCAATTATAATCGCACAACTTCAAAACTTGAGTTTTATAGTTTTCTTTGTTCTTTCCTATTTGTCGTCGTTGCCGTAGTAGAATTTTCCAGATGTCAAGCTGGACAGGTGTTGAACCATTCTTATTACACATGTTTGCAGTTGATTCGATAAATAAAGCCTCAGTCACTTATCCATCTCTTCCTCCACCCTGCTGTTACATTAGATTTTAAAACTGTCATCCTATCCCACCCCACCCTATTTTACGGTTTTGTGTAAATGCATATTGTGAGTGGTATAGCTGAACTATACTCTAGATTTCTTATCTTATTCCGGTCAACCAACAATAAGGAATCTAAATCATCATTAGTACTTCCATACAAGGAAGGAACCTTGGAAACCACCTTACGCAGAATTCTTAACAAGGCAGGCAGGAATAAAAGTGGCACTCAAACACCCCAAAAACTGATTTAGAAACAAGCTTTGTCGGTTAAAGGATCAATCCTGTGGAGCTTTTAAATCAAAACAATTTGGTTTATCTAATACCCTACCTGCAATGATTGTTAGGTCAAATACATAGGTCAAACTAGTAGAACAGGGGTAGTCAGACTAGCCGAGAATTAGAATCTAGTAAAATCTAAATCATTTGACCCGAATAAGATGAGAAATCTAGAAAATAGTTCAGCTATAGCACTACATACAGTTACACACAACCGTACAATACGATGGGATGGATGGGATAAGATGACAGTTTTAAAATCTAATGCAACTGCAGGGTAGAGGGAGAGACTGATAACTGATTGAATCTTTGTTGACTGAATCAACTGAGGGGAATACATGTAGTAGGAATGATTCAACACCTGTCCAGGTGGATATCTGGAAAATTCTACTACCCCTACTACGACGAATAGGCGAGAACAAAGAAAGCTATGAAACTCAAGTTTCAAAGTCGTGTGATTACAATTGATATGATTATGAACACTAAATTTTGCTCAAAACCTTGTCATCCAGTAAATAATACTGTTTCACTGTGTGATACATCTAATAAACCAACTGGTATGGAATTACCTACTACCAAAGTGCCCACGTTTTACACATATATCAACAACAACACTAACACGCACCAATTACTATCAACAACAAAAATTTGATAATGATCACTGCCTCCACTTTTCTGGGCTATATCGTTTCAACTACAAGCACATTTAGTACTCCGAAATCAATTTGGAAATCTGTTACACTCAACATAAAGAACAAAATTCAGATTTTTAACATTAATGTCAGGTGGGTCAGTTCTTCTATATTGATGAAAAACTTGACGCGTCATGAAAACACTTCCAAAAGGCTAGTGCAAACTTTTATCAACAGGTGTTTTCGCTGTAAGAACCTGTTGCTCAACAAATTAACCGAAGAAAATGCAGATCGACTGAGAGCACGTTGAGGTGACCTTTGGGTAACAATGCATACCAGACCACTGATCAAATGGAAACTGTATAGAAAATGACGAGTTGAGCATTGATGGGTTCGAGTGTGGTACAGAGGAGATGAGAGCCTCTGAGAAGTCCTAAGGTCAGGTAAAGAGGATCTCAGAAAATAGGATAAAGTGTAGTTGTGCTGTTGAAGTCCTATGGTCCACTCGGAACTCAATGGAACAACAATAATAGTAATAATACTAATAATAACAAATCGAAAATAAGAAGATTCAATGATTTCACTTACATCACAAGTACACCAAACTTGAGCTAAACCAGGAAATGAAGCAGCATCAGGTTCATACGGAATAAGTGACACATAACGAGCTAAACGTAACTGAACAATAAAACGCACAAAGAAAGGGAAAAATTTATATAGATGAGTACAAAATCGATTATTTAAAAAAACTTTCATCTTTTGATTCCCCCTATAACTCCATGAAAACAGATTGAACAAGAAGATGTGAGAAAGATTTCCATAAAACCAAATTGAACAGGAACTCAATGAATGATAAGAATGGAATCTGAGCATTATTGTAGTGTGAAAAATATGCGCTATGTCGTGAATTGGTAGAAGTTAGAATTCAAGGACTGGTCACTGGATCGGGTCCCAGTGGCTCAATGGTCTACGAGCTCGCCTTGCAGTAACCAGAAGGTCCTGGGTTCGAATCCGGTGGGTGCGTACTGTTGAAGAGTCCCAAACTAGGACGAAACAGCTGTCCAGTACTCCCAGGTTTTCCAGTGGTTCTCTAACTGATGTCAGCTCATGATTAAATCCTCCATGCAATCAAACAAAATCCCTATAAAACCAATACTTGAAAAATAATTGTTAAGAAACTCACAGTAATACAGGATTAGGGCCAAGTTAAAGTATCACGATCCAGGAGTGCAAACGCACCAGTGACGTCTACTATTCGTTGGATAACAAAGCTTACCATTATTATAGCACCCTTAATGAACGCTACTCATGCAGTGAGTGAGGTGCTAAATTTCATCCCTGTCTCGTTTTTTAAGTACTATTTCGACAAGGTGTTGACAGCTTGTTGGGGTTATGGTTGAGATTCGGATTAGAGTAAAGATTAAGGTTAGAGTGTTTCATTTCAACTGAGAAATTTTGGAGAATACCAAAATACGACATAGGAGATATAAGTGGGTCACAAAAGAAACTCATATACAACCACCTTGGTGAATACGTCTAACTTAAACACTGAGAATCCATATTATATTTCGGAGATATTTTTAAATACCTCCTACGTACAGTATTTTTAGGTATTTCTCTTGTAACTAAACGTCATTTTTTAGGTAAAAGTCACCGGATTTCTTGATTGGTCGGTTCAAGATCACTCGTGTGTTCGTGCTCTATAGATCATAATAGTTTAACTTTGTCCGGTACCATTTGTTTAGAGATGACAATCTATTGCTTATAATCATATGCAAGTGCTCAAATAACAGGTCTCTTACTAGAATTTGTTTATAAAGTGGTCACATCCCTTCTTGTCTATTTTATTGTTATCAGTAATAATATGATTATTCCATAACTTTGGAATTCTCGTGAGAAATCGTGACCAACTGGTCGAGAGTGAGGACAAATCCTCGCCAACACTGACATCGGTTGATGGTCTCACTAAAATCACAAATTGATATGGAAGATAGAATTTATCTTCCGGTTATTCAGAGAGGTACTAGTGACTGCGTGAATGGTCTATGAGCTCTCCTTGTAACCAGAATGTCCTGAGTTCAAATTCCAATGACTTCTAGACTAGGCTGACGAAACAACTGGCTGTCCAGCACTCCATGGCAGTTTTCACTGCCTCGTCTATAACTGTCATCGGTCCGCAATCAAAACTGAAATGAGTATTATTCTTCCATATCTTTAGTTTCTTTGTTGCGTCATTGCTACCACCCCAACTGCTGAATGTAGATTCAATAAACAAGCATGATTCATTGGTCAACTTCTTCCGTTTACCTATCTATGTAACTTCTTAGAACTTTAGTTTTATCCCACCATACTGTATGATTGTGTACAATTGTATGCATTGCAATATAAAATGTCTTTTTAAAGTCAGACAACCTACACACGACTTAATTTTCTGCCTCTAATAATCTGACTAACCCCGATCTTCTTACTTGATCTATACAATTGACGTTATGGTCATTGTGCCAAAGTGCATACAATGGAAGCACACAGAGTAGGATTACAGGATTTCATCATGAGCTGACATCAGTTAGAGAAGCATTGGAAAACCAGCGGCGAGGAGTATTGAACAGCTATTTCGTCATAGTTTGGGACTCGTCAGCAGTACGCAACCAGTAGGGAGGGTAAGAACCCAGGACCTTCTGGTTACAAGGCTAGCGAACTCGTAGACCATTAGGCCAATGGGACCTGACTCAATGGCAAGCCCATTAACTATAACTCCTGTCAATTCATCAAATATAGCGTGACCGCTAGTCAGTGTCTGCCAATGGATTGGGCCCCAGTGGCTTATTGGTTTATGAGCTCGCTAACCTTGTAACTAGAATGTCCTGAGTCCTAACCTTTGCGGTGGGTGTGTACAGATGACAAGTCTCAAACTAGGACGGAGGAAACATCTGGCTCTCCAGTACTCCCTGTGGCAGGTTTTCCAGTGGTTCTCTAACTGATGTCAGCTCATGGTGAAATTCTGTAACCAGTTAATCAAATCCCTACTCATGACTCAACATATTTCAAAGAACGTAAGACTAAAGAGATCGCAGATGCTGAGCAATACGACTGACCGCCATGTAGTGAACAATAGACCTACTATGAATAGTCTGAGGGCATTTAAAACAGTCGACAGGCAAACACCATCAAACGATTAAGAGTGAATCTCAATACTCAATATAGTAGACAGTAGTCATTTTAGCACTGCCAATAATGATTAGCGATATTCTCTGAAAAAGCCAGTAGAGAGCAATTCCAAGAAAGTTCTTTGCTGGATCTCTCTATGTCATACCTTCTCTACATATGCTCTTATTCACTGAAGAAGATAGAGATGTTGACAACTTCAAAGTGCACACATCAGTTGGCCTACTCATATAAAGTCAAGAAAATAGGCCGTACCAGTAGGATATTATCCAGATGTCTCCATGAATGCCTATCAGCATAGCTATCAAAAGAAGAACAGACTAAAGCTCATTTCCAGAGTATATTATTACTTCTGGTCATGCCGCATCAGCACAGACGTCTTTCAGACTCATATACAATGTACGACCAATTATTTTGGAGAAGGTCTCGCCTACATCTTCTTCATTTAGCTGAAGCCTTAAGGAGCAACCTGATCTCGCTTTTATAAATGATTCATTCAAACTCTTTACTACCATGACCTGAGTTGTAATTTTTCCCATTCTTTATAGCGAAAATATCCATCCAGACATTTAGAAAAAAAGCTGATAAAAGAATATCCTTTTTGGATAATTTCCTCTTCCGGCTCTAAAGTTATATATACATTCATATGCACTGAATGTTCCAGAATAATCGTCAACAACAATATTATTATTGTTCCTTTGGGTTCCTAGTGGAACATAGGTCTTCAACTGCACATCTCCACTTCTTTCTGTCTTCTGCTGTACTTTACACCTGCATCCATGTTAGTCCATACTCTTTCAACTCCTTCTCACACGATCTCCTCCATGTCACCCTTGCACTGACGTCCCACTCGCCGCTTCCCTTTCGTCCTGGTTCCACTCGAGCAATGGTCTGACGCGCGATGTCACCCAGAGGTCTCCTCAGTGAGTGCCCAACCCATCTCCACTTTCTCCTGCATATTCGTTGGTTGGCGATTGGATCTTATTTCGTTTGTTTCCATAGTTTCCAATAGTTGGTGATTCTTTCCGGCCCAGCCATCTGATCTTTAATATAGAGAGGAGACAGTTAGTTGTTGATAAAGGTCCGCAACAGGCTGCTGGAAATATTCCTTGTGACCCGCCCGCCAAGTTTCTGATCCGTATAGAAGAACTGACTTTATGTTTGTATTGAAAATCCAACCGAATTTTGTTGGTGATGCTGGCTGAGTGACGAAGATTTCCAGATTGATTTCAGGTTGATGAATGTGTTTTTCGCCTTCCCGATTCCCGCTCGATTTGACATCCTCGTCCGTTCCAACTGCGTGTAGTTGAGACAATCCTCACTAGATAAGTGAGTGAATGAAGTAACCTCTTTCAAATCCCTCCCGTTGATGAGGATTAGCAGTGGATGTTGCTGTTGTTTTTGTTGTTGGTTGGTTATTTTCATAACCTCCGTCTTGTCTATGCTCACCTGGAGTCCTGTCTTTGCTGCTTCTTCAACAACAATATTGGTGTTTTTTAAATACTATCGATTTGTTAAGATGAATGAAATCACAGTTCAAGAAAGACGCTCAAGTTATAATAAGCATAAAAATTCGATACCACATAGAATATTAAATGAAATTATGGAAAGAAAAAGGCCCTAGTATTTAGTATTATTTCTACACACCCTTATGGCTCTAAAAGAGGACGGTCCAAAATAAGAAGTGTGTATACAAAACCCATATCAACTCGTCAGTATACTCATTTTTTAAGCTTCGTGCTTTTGAAATATAAACGCAATCTAATAAAGTGCTTGGTCCACCACAGAGCAAGAGCAATCTGACTTGTAGAATGTCTTCATAGAAGATGAGCTTAATATTATGAAACATTTGCTGAAGGAGAATGGTTACCCAGAAAAATGCATCGATAAAAATACGAATCAAAAGTCAAGACAGACCAAAGTACCGGCAGTTTCGGAAAAGGAAGGTCTTATTCTTACAACTTTATTCCCCCGGGGATAACACCAGTAAGATACTAACAAAAAACCTAAGGAATGTGGTAAAAAAACGCATTCACTACCGCTAATTTATGCCATGTCTTCAAAACCACCCCTATTTCGCCTTCGAGAGTTAAAGATAAACTACCTAATTTTGACTCTTAGATGTGCACCTACCGACCTGACGGCTCCTGTAGAGCCAGTTACATTGGCCGTATGACTAGGTGTGTGTTTATAGTCGGATTTCCTAACACCATCCTGCGTGGTTGAGAAAAGGAGAAACAAAATCCATTCACATGGCCCTATTCCATCTCATCATTTGGATACAACGAACACAACATTGATGTTGGCGAGGCTTTCAAATTCTTCCAGCGTATACCAACTAATCCTAACATTGGCTAAAGAGTTCGTCGACTACATATTGCTGAGGCTGGTTTGTGGGGATCCACACACCAGGAAACCTAGCTCATGTATCCAAAAGAAGATGTTGCTTCAGACACTGTCCTTACCTCAATGGCCATCAAGATTTCAATGATCCTCAATTTGTTCTGGAAATTTGCTCAATTTTTTTGATATTCTATCCGCTTTTATTTAATTATTATTTATGGATCTTTCTTGAACTGTAATTCCACTAATTTTACTTAACAAATCGATAGTATTTAAGAAACACTAATATTGTTAATGACGACTATTCTAAAATATTCTGTATATTTTTTTATATTTTTGATTACAGCTTGATTCCACACTGTATTTTTGGTACAAGTATGGAATTTTCAGCATGGATATCGGTAGCCCAAATATTGCAGGCCGACCATAGATATCAGGTGTGCGTTGGCAGGGGATCGAACCTCGGAACATGTGCACGGTCGACGAGAGTCCTAACCACTGTGCCACCCACCCACAAAGAGAAGTGCGCCGGCTGGGAATCTAATTCGGACCCCCCGTGTAGCAGGCGAGCATTCTACCATATATGTATATTATTGAACCGGAAGAAGAAATTGTCGAAAGGACATTCTTTACTCATTTTACGTTCCGTCTTCATCTGCCTGAATAACACTGAAATACGCCCTATGTCGTTCACTGTATGTGTCTGTAACTCACAATCAACCTGTTGTTCTCCTGTCCCTTAACAACCACTATCAAGTGATTATTCATCCCTGCAATGATTGGTTATCAACTCATTTGATTAAGTCAGATTATTCCGAATCTTTAAAGCACAGTTATTACTCATCCACCTTGATTTGCTTTGTTGTCAACTGACAATAACCTTTGACCTCTGCTGTCAGACTGCATTGCATTTATAAACACCCACATATAAAGCATTGAAGTGAAGCTATGAGAAGAGGAGACGTCTTTGTTAATTCGTGTGTTCTCAAGCACAAGACGTAATCAACTTAACTCATGGCAATTCAGAATATCTTTGAACAACAGAAGTTGTACACTTCGATCTACAGGAAAGTTTTAATTGGTACTCGCTGAACAAGATGTGGGAACTCTCGTTACCCGAATGGTCTAGTGGATAACATTTTGACGTTTGGAACGATACGTACTGGATTTGAACCTCAATGGGTACACCACCACTCACTGAATCACTGGGAAACACAGGTATATCCAGCCAACAGGTCGTAAACAAGAAAAAGTGAGCATCCTGAATTCCAATGCTGGTCGCCACCACCCACCAAGTGACTTCTACTTCAAATACAATAGGAATCTTTGGATTATCGGATAGAATGACTGCGGTAAATAGTTTTAATCAGACAAACAGAAACAGTTCCAAAATTTAGGAAGTATTTACTGATAAATGACGGATGGTGACTACTAGTGGAATCCAGTTAAGATGGGCATTTCGTCCAGTTTGGAAATCGTTATCTGAATATGACTGTGTTCCCCCGTGAATTACAGTGTTCCCATCGAGGCTCGAAACCAGTGTCCATAATTTCAAATTTCGGAGCGTTATCCGCGACAGCCACCTCTTGTGCAAAGGTCATATTAATTTATTTGATACAATTTGAGATTTTCCCGTCGATTGATTGGACTGAAGTGCTTAATTAGTAATTAATATGACCTCTAGCACAAGAGGTGGCTTTCGCGGCGTTCCAAGCTGCGTGCATTGCATTCGAGCCTCTGTGGTAACATCATCACTCACTGGGGAATGCAGGTACATCCAGATGACGAGTCTCAAATTGGACGAAATGCGTATCTTGGCTGGATTGGGTTCCACCGGTAGTCACCATCCACCAATTAACTTCTAGTTACATGACAACGTATCGTCAAAGCATCTGCACAAGGAGTCGACATGTCATCCTGGGAGTGACCAGTTCTGTCAAATCAATCGACAGATTCGGCTCTTGAAAGAAAAAAGTCACCGTCACATTCAGTCATCCATGTGATCAGAGATTAGAACAAAATAATTCGGAAAGTAAAAGATTCTTGTATAGAAAAAGAAAATCGATGGGGACCATATTATTGCAATTATCCATGAATGCATAGTTCACATTATTTATATATGCTTACCATAGACTCTGAAATTGTCAAACCAGTTTTCTGTCCAGGGAGGAAATCTTCCGGTGGATTAAGCGGATATAGAAAACGTGTCATGAGTACTTCATGACAATCAGAATTCATAACCAACGGTTTAAATAGTCGATCAGACATGTATTTATGCTTTGACAACTTTTCATACCATTTTGTCAAAGTTGACTGTATACTGACTGATTCTGTAGTCATGAACTGAAATATTTTACAAAATAAAAGTACATTTTATTTAATTGGGGTCCAGTGGAATATGAAGTACACATATAAATTACTTTTGAACTATAATGTTAAATTTGATACTGCGTCAACATAACTCCAAGTAAAGATGAGGAAACAACAAGAATACTCAGGAACTTTTAAAAGCCTGGCACTCCAGTGAATCATCAGCCAATCAATAGACACATCGAGATAGACAAAATATATCAACCGATAAGAAAGAGATCTCACACACACAAAGGGTCAAAGTTCAAGTCGAAGAAACAATCAGTTCCAATACAAATAACCAACAAGTAACTACGAAAAAATCGATGGCATTGCCATGGGTTCCCCATTGGGGTCAATTTTAGCAGATTTCTTTCTTGCCAAGGTTGAAAACTGTCCATTGAGACAAGTAATAGAAAAACTGATTCTTATTTTCGCTATGTTGATGATACGTTTATTATTCTTGATGTGAAAGCTGACAAGAATGAAATGTTAAATAAGTTAAATGATGCACATCCATCGCTCATCTTCACTTGTGAAAAAGAAGAACATGATGGTAGACTGCATTTCCTTGACGTCCAATTGAGCATAAGAGAGGATGGTTCACTCAAGAGAGATGTCTTTAGAAAACCTAGATCTGTGGGGTAATATACACATTTTCTCAATTTTGTACCAATCCGATACAAAGTCAGTTTGGTCAGATGCCTCACGAATACAGCAAGACGTATCTGTACAGATGACTCCCTAGAAAATGATCTAGGATACATCTAAAAAATACGTTGGTCCAAACAGGTTATCCTAGTAGATTTGTAAGGAGACACATGAACACCAAGTACAATCAAGAGAAACTGACAACAGTTGAAAGGAAACAACTGTTCATGAAACTGCAATTTAATGGGGACGTGGCTAGCGAAGTCTTACATATGAGATTATCGAGAGCGATAAAACGGACTTATACTCCCGCCACCCTCTGTTTGTCATTTTCCAGACGACCAATTTTGATTGCTCAGGTGGAAGACAAGCTACCTAGCTGTGCCACTTCCATGTGTATCTATAATTTTAGTTGCTCCTGTGGAGAGAGCTGGCTATATAGGCCGAACAACTAAACAGCTTAACAAACGCATTAGTGAGCATCTTCCTTCATGGTTCGGAAAAGGTCAAATAAAAACCATACGAAGTTCTATTTTGGCTCATTTGATTGAAGGCGGCCACCAAGTGGACAAAAATAGTGCCTTCAAAGTTACCTATCACATTCCACCGAGCCTTTTGAACGGAACTCGAATCTGTCTTTTACACATAGCCGAAGCTATGGGAATTCGAGAGAACAATCCTAGTCTTTGTATACAAAAGCAGTTTGTTCTGCCTTTGTCTCTCCTTGGCCTAGGTGAATTCTATTCAAAACCCTCCCACCCTTTCTTATCATCCCTCTCCTTCGTACTTTTATGATATTTATTTAAACCCTGATTGTCGTTCCACTTCACCTTTTAAGATTTGATCTAATTTATTTATTGAATTGTCTACATATACACATATATACATGTACTATCTTTGTTATTCTCATCGCCACCTGCATAAATCTTATTATTAATATTTTGTTATCATTGTAATCACCGTTATTAACTATGTTCAAGACATTTACCACTTTAATATTATTAATATTTGATCCACAAAATCACCGTCATTGGTTAAAATTATATATATATATATATATATATATATATATATATATATATATATATATATATATATATATATATATACATAAGTCTATGTAAATTAGAGTAAAGCCTGAAGAAGATCTAATTGAAAACAATATTGTTCGCTTATATGTTCTGATATTAAAAATGGGAATATTTAAAGATTTAACCTAGAAGGTGTGGAAACACACAAAAACAACCAATCACGTCCAAGGTCACCCACCAGGAGAGATGACTAATAAACTCGTGGAGAAATCGAAAAGCTCACTTCATCGAGTTGAAGTATGCGTTGAAGATGTCACCTAGTATGGCGAAGAAAGCTTCGCAAATTAACTATCCAGCTCAGAGAACACAAGAACATCAAAAAATGATCATTATAGATTCAAGAGTGTCAAAGATAGGACCAGACACTTATCACAGTCTGCATGAAGAACAAGAATCAGATCTTCAAAAGTAAAGTCAAATCAGTACTTCTCTCGCATATACTACTGACAATATGTATCAGTAATATATGAGGAGATATTTACTGTCACAAAAGTATATCAAACAACGGGAAGACAGATTTGATGTCAAAGAGAGCAAATGAATCAGTGAGTATTGTGGCAAAACATGCGGGACACAAAAAGACGACAAAGTAACACAGGGTGGAATTAGCACAACGCGGAATATCTGTGCAAATGACGATTTTCAAATAAGATGTACATAATTTCTTCATATAAGGCCATCCGATTTCAAATAAAAATTTTGTTATCAAGTCTATTTTTCTCTACCATTATATTTGGTGCCACTGCCTCCAGACAATGGAAATCCTATGGCCGACTGCTCTCGACGAACGAGACATCAGGAGCCTCCTGAGGGACTTCGACGCCGTCTCTGAGTTGTTCGGAGTCAAGGATCCTTCGACTGAGTGGCTAGGAAAAGGTGGTATACAACACTGGGAAATGACTAGGTGATAAAGAGAACTAGAAGGTACTGGCTGAACGATAGGTGGTGGAGTTCCACAGCCTGGTGGACAGGCAGCTGACAATGCAGTTTTTGCGTATCATGAAGCTGAGAGCTGATGAAAACCTGTTAGTGTTGGTGCCAAAGCTGATAAATCTAATTCGTCGCACACTCTGCACATGCGACGAAGATTTGGAGTCGCAGTTACTTACTTCCAAACTCATCAAGATTGTACCAGATCAGATTTTTCATCAACTACAATTGGTTAACTCTGAACATCCCACTGACAGTGATCAGCTAGGGAAATTGATCAGACAGTCGTTCAGTACACTGGTAGCTGCAATAGAGCCACCGAACTCTAATGAATGGGAAGAGAAAATTGAAGATTCCTAGCGTGAAGTAGCGGCGCTACGAATAAGTGCTAGAAAATACTTGTGCTCTGAATGTGGCTAATCAGTATACTTGAGGAGGTACTACCTAGAAAGGTGGAGAAGAAAAATGTACATTCTGTTATCACATCTTTCGTCTTATACCGTTACACTTCCATATGGTTAAGAGACTTGTCATGCACGTCAGCAAAAGCGTCAACAACAAGCTGTCGCATAATTTTATTAACTTCTGCATTCCGTGACTCGAGATAGTGAAGATCAGTTGGCCAGAAAGGAAACTCTGCTACGAATCTAACAACGACCTATTGCCTGACAAATACGTTAAACTGAAGTGGAAATCGATTAGAAATATTCTGGAGAGATTGCTGACTGATATCATACATCGGGCAGGCACTCGATTGCAATCAATCCACCATGGCATTTTTGAATCAGGTGCGATAAACTCGAACAGTCACTACTTTTCAATATACCCTCATTTAGCTATACTAGTGGGTTTTCTCGAGCACAAAAAATGAGGTTCCTAGGACAGCGGCCACCTCTCTGAAGATTATTCACTGGCATTGAGTACTCCATTACTCAGGGCAATTTAAATCTTAAATTTGGTGCTACATATACGTGTGTTAACAGTCTCCATCGCGCTCAGTCTAATTACGACTCCTCGACTGCCCCTAGGTCTTTATTTCTCATTCACATAGACTCCCTGGAGAGGAAGGCAGTGCATACAGGACTCCAGGTGAACATAGAGAAGATGGAGGTTATCAAGATAACAAATCAACAGCAAAAATAAGAACAACCAGCCCCACCACCATCAATGAGAGAGATTTGACAGAAGTAACTTCCATCCTTTCTATGAAGCGTCGTTTCAACCAAAGGAAGTCAAAACGTATGAACGTGTCAACACCGGTCAGTTAGGATCGGAAAGGCGAGATACGCCTTCATCAACCAGAAACCAGTTTGCAAATTTCGTTTTCCACTGATTCAGCTGCATGAAGAACAAGATTCGGATTTTCAATACAAATGTGAAGTCAGTCAGTCAGTTCCTCTATACGGATCAGAAACCTGCACTGCGTGTTACAGGAACGATTTCATTAACATCTGCTTCCTTCACTGACTTCTCAGTGAAGATCGAATTTCCGGATGGCTGTCCAGAAAGCATTATTATTATTATTGCTCCCTTGGGTTCCTAATGGAACATAGGGCTTCAACTGCACATCTCCACTTGCTTCTGTCTGACTTCTGCTGTACTTTTCACCTGAATCCATGTTAGTCCATATTCTTTCAACTCCTCTCTTCACACGATCTCCTCCATGTCACCCTTGCACTGACGTCCCACTCGCCGCTTCCCTTTCGTCTGGTTCCACTCGAGCAATGGTCTGACGCGCGATGTCACCCAGAGGTCTCCTCAGTGAGTGCCCAATCCATCTCCACTTTCTCCTGCATATTCGTTGGTTGGCGATTGGATCTTATTTCGTTTGTTTCCATAGTTTCCAATAGTTGGTGATTCTTTCCGGCCCAGCCATCTGATCTTTAATATAGAGAGGAGACAGTTAGTTGTTGATAAAGGTCCGCAACAGGCTGCTGGAAATATTCCTTGTGACCCGCCCGCCAAGTTTCTGATCCGTATAGAAGAACTGACTTTACGTTTGTATTGAAAATCCGAATTTTGTTGGTGATGCTGAGTGACGAAGATTTCCAGATTGATTTCAGGTTGATGAATGTGTTTCTCGCCTTCCCGATTCTCGCTCGATTTGACATCCTCGTCCGTTCCCTGCCTGTAGTTGAGACAATGCTCCCTAGATAAGTGAGTGAATGAAGTAACCTCTTTCAAATCCCTCCCGTTGATGGTGATTGACGTTGGATGTTGTTGCTGTTGTTGGTTGGTTATTTTCATAACCTCCGTCTTGTCTATGTTTACCTGGAGTCCTGTCCCGGCTGCTTCTTCGACCAGTTTGTCGGTTTTCGCTTGTAAGTCTTCGATTTTGTGTGACATCAAACATAAATCATCCACGAAATCCAGGTCTTCTAGGTTCTTCACGTCGGTCCAGGATATTCCTGTCTTCTCGTTTCCCACAGTGTCTGACGCATAATCCAGTCAGTCCACCACAATTAGGAATATCATTGGTGATAGTAAGCACCCTTGTCTGACTCCTGTGTTTACTCCAAACGCCTCGCTGAGTCTTCCGTTGTGGATCACTTGGCAGGTGCCGTTGTCGTACAGCTGTTGAATAAGGTTGATGAATATTTGGGGTACGCCATAGTACTCGAGTAATTTCCAAATTACTTCACGGTCAACGCTGTCGAAGGCCTTCTCAAAGTCTATAAAGTTGAGGTAGAGGTTCCATGCTTTGTTCTGTGATGATGATGCGTAGAGTTGCAATTTGGTCAGTACATGATTTGCCTTTCCTGAATCCAGCTTGTTCTGGTCGGAGTTCTGTCTCCAGTGCGTCCTTTAATCTCTCCAGGATGATGCGACTCAGGATTTTACTTGGCGTCGATAGGAGCATGATTCCTCGCCAGTTCTTGCAGAGTGAGGCGTAAGTCGCCCTTCTTTGGTAGTTTCACGAGGTAACCTTTCCTCCAGTCAGTAGGCACCTTTCCCTCCTTCCAGACCTTTTGCAATAATGGAGTCAGCATGTCTGCTGTCGTCTCTGGGTCCGCTTTCAGTGCTTCAGGGGGTATTCCATCTGGTCCGGCTGCTTTTCCAGCTTTCAGAAGCTTGATTGTGTTCAAGACTTCAGCTCTCGTTGGAGGATTGGTGTCAACTTGCAGTTTTGTGCGCGCTGTTGTTGGTATTTCTGGACGGGTTGCAGGTGATGGTCGGTTCAAGAGTCCTTTGAAGTGATCCGCCCATTGTTTAATCTGTTTTTCTTCCTTGGTAATTGGGTTCCCTTGGCTGTCTTTTATAGGTTTCGCTTGTGTTGATCTCTTCCCGGATAGAGATTTGGTTATCTGATATAGTGTCCTCAGGTCCCTTTTGCCTGCTGCCTTCTCAGCTTCAGTGGCCAGGTTGTCGTAGAATCGTCTTTTGTCCTTCCTAGCACCCTTCTTCACTTCTTTGTCCAGTGCTTTGTAAGTTGAGCTCAGCGTCTCCTTCTCCTGTCCGTCCTTGCATTGAATCATTTTCTCTTTCACCATTCTCCTCTCTTCTATTAATTTCCAAGTGTCCGTTGAGAGCCATTCCTTGTCTTGTCTCTTCTTTCTTCCTAGAACCGTTGAACACGTTTCGTTGAGAATCGCCTTCAGAGACTTCCAATGTTCTTCCACGCATGATTCTTCAGTGATGTCGCGTAGTGTTTCCTGCTTTGCTCTGACAGTTGCAGTGAAAGTGTCTTTTGTGGTTGTGTCCTTCAGTTTGAGTGTTGAACTTGCATTGTGGCCTATCCCAGCTATCCTCGAGGCTTTTAGTTTCACCTTGAAAGTCCCTTGTACTAGATAGTGGTCTGAACCCACATCTGCTCCTCTCCTTGACCTTGTGTCCAGTAGGCTCCGTCTCCACTTTCTTGAAATTGAGATGAAGTCTATTTGGTTTTTGGTGTTTCCATCTGGTGAAATCCATGTCGTCTTGTGTATATCCTTGTGTTTGAACACACTACCACCAACCAATCTTTACCCGGGCTTGCGACCGGCGAGAAAACTAGTAAGCTAATAGCCTAGCACGCTAGTATCTGGCGAGGTTGTCCTGAAAGCATAAGCTACAAAAAAAAAATCTGCAACGGAACAAACCAACAGGCAATAGTCAATTGTTGAACAAATATATATATATATATATATGAGAAAATGGAGGTGCGTCGGCTTGGCATACGTTGAGGAGGCCGTCGAATGACAATGCGCACAGTGCAGGCCATCTCTGGAGTGGAATGGGTAGTTAATGCAAGCGTGACATAGAGGATATGTTATGTTAGAGGAGGAGGAGGAGGAGAAGATGAGAGATTATGGGCACTCGTGGAACCACGTGACGATGACGGTGGATAATGCAACAAAGTGGAGATATGTTGTTGAAGCCTTATGTTCTATTTGAAACCCAAGGGAATAATAATAATAATAATGATATGATAAGATTGGAAAATCAAAATTTTGTCTGTACGAAATTGAATGGAAAGTGGATGATGTCAAACAACGAAAGGAATCTGAAGAACCGAAAATTAGCTCTAATATGAAATTCAAGTTAACTGATGAAAATACAGGCTGCTCTTTTGTCTGTTAATTATTTCGAATGCTCCCAATAAGTCGACTTGGTATCGTGTGTCTACTAGTTGTTAAGTAATTGACGATTTCAAGCTATTCAACGTCTTTAACCGAAGTGTCTTCAGTACACAGCTCAAGAATATGAAATTATCCCTTCTTTCTTGTCTCCAAATGTAACTGCTCCCACAGTTGGATTCACTCACACACACATACCTGGAGATATATCAGTTCACGTGTAACTGAGACAGGAAATACAGTCCTGAAACAGTTTAACCTTCTAAATAATCAATAAAGGGAAAAAATTCCGATTGCTTGGATTCCCAGAATCCATTTGTATCAAACTATTACAGCCTAACCTGGGCATACAGAAACATGGTATGATTTTCCTCGGACTATCCTGGTATTTGAATCTTTTTAGGATTTACATTTATTTACCATTTCCGTTAACTACGACACTTTCCCCTCCTTCTTTGTGCGTGAACTAAAAAGAAGACTGAGAACGCCATAAGGTAATCAATATAAGTTTGGGACGATAAATCCTACTCACCGAGTCCATCAATGGTGCAGGTGGATAAATCGACGGCTCCAATGTCATCAAAACATCAACCATTGGTCGAATTGAAGATTTGGCTAGATTTACTGTTTCATATCCTTGTAGAATTATTGGAACTGACAAATTTATTCTACCACTAACCTAAAGAAAAATGCAGAAGAAATCATTTTGAAAGAAATGAAGGAATTGTTTTTGTCGGGGAAGAAAGACATTTTGTGTGAAAAATTGATGGGACCGTCTAATCTTAGACTGATTACAATGAAGGCGAACCATTTCTCATGGTTCATCATCAGCAGTGGTTTTATTTCTACGGGGTAGGGTGGCCAGCTTCATGCCAAATCTTCATTATCTCAGGGACTTACTGAATGCTAGGTGGGGTTAAGGAGTGCATCGACTAGAGACTGAACCCTGGATCACGTGGGGCGCGCCTGGCGACTATTTTAAGGTCACACCACCGACGCATAGTGTGTTACTAGATGGCTACAAGCAGTCAGCAAGAAGCCTTGAACTTAGGTTTCGTAATTCTGGGAACTCGTAGGCAAGGCGTATCTGCAATGTTTAGGAAATTCATGTCCTTTCTGGGATTAGAACCGGGTACCTCCATTCTACCAGACCATTCTACCATGTTAACCACATATACACTAGGATGGTACTAAACAGCATTGAATGGCTGTAACCCAATCAATCATCGGCTGGCAGAAGTTAAAATTAATGGGTCATTATGCTGTTCCCTAGTAGCCTGAAGGTCCTGTGCCAAATAAGTAGTACGCCACTACTGAAGAGTCTCAAGTCGGGACGAAACAGCTAAACAATACTCCTTTAATCTCAGTGATTCTCCCTCTCACCTTTTGTCTTCCCAGGTGAAAATTCCATGATACCACATTTGGTACTTGTTTTACGTGATGAAAATAGTTTCAGGCACAAACTAACTGACCTTCTCACTACTAGGAAATAAACAAGTTTCTCCAACTTTATAACATCAAAGTTTACTGTTATTATTCTTTTTACACTTATAATCCTCTCACTTTTTGTTTATTTTCTCAAAAGTATAAACATCATTTAAACCGTGTTAAAGCTGTTAATTTTGCCTTTCCCTCCACCATACTGTGTCAAGAGAACATCAGATTCAATATTCTATAACATGCTAAGATTTCCATACTGTATCGACAATACTGTTTGAAACAAACCCGCTATTATTATTATTATTATTACTATTAGAGTTATTATTGTATGGAGGATTTAATCATGAGCTGACATCAGTTAGAGGACCACTGGAAAACCTGGGAGTACTGGACAGGTGTTTCCCAGGTTTTCCAGTGGTTCTCTAACTGATGTCAGCTCATGATTAAATCCTCCATACAATCAAACCAAATCCCTGCAAAACCAACACTTGAGAGTTATTATTCTCAATTTGTACTTCGTTCATTTTTGGCTTCATTCCTACTGTAAATGTGAACAAAATCCAGTGGTTACTTTTATTTATATTTTGAGTAAATTAGAACAGTTGAAGCACTAGCCATCCAAAAGCTCAAAAATACACGTTATGTATCCAAAAGAAATACGTTCAACCCTTGTCCTTTCTATGGCCATCATAAATAAGTAATTCTTCTAATAGTGACTACACCATTGACTTTCTTATCCAAACATCCTGTTTATTCGTGATATTTTTTAGTTTTTCTTAATCCCTTATTGAATTGAATTTTTGATTCTCCCGTCGATTGATTGGACCGAAGTGCTCGGTCTCAGGTTGACATGTCGGCTTCTTGTGCAGATGCTTCGACGATGTCTGGGCATTTAATTAGTATACAATTGATGGATGGGTTCGAGTCTCGGTGGGAACATCATCACTCACTGGGGAATGCAGGTACATCCAGCTGGGAGACGAGTCCCAAATAGGACGAAATGCGCGTTATCCTGGATTCCACTGCTAGCCACCATACACCAATTGTTTCTTAATCCCTGTTTACACCACCATATTTTCATATCCGAACTTCTTGTCTATTTTGTCATTATTTATTATCTCTACATATTTAATCCCTGTTTGCATAAACAATTACTCGTCACATTAGTTATTGTCCCACTAGATTTTTTTATCCAAACATCCTGTCTATTGTTGTCATTTCTACATTTCTAACCCCCATAATTGCATAATCAATGTCAATCTTTTCAGTAATTATGATGTTACTTTGTTGGAGTTGTATCCGTCTCCCCCACCCCCTCTATTTATTGTGACATTTTAATTCTTAATTGTAATTTTATTAATTTGATCCTTGACCAGAAATTATTCTGGAACTTTCCCACCCATTTATCATAAATACACGAATGTACAGCCTAGTTGATGATTTCATCGAGAAGAAAATTTTCTTCACTGCAACCGTCTTTATAATAATTCCTAAGAGATACAATATTGTGAAAAGTGCTGAGAATTCCATTTAGTATTATCCGCTCTGTTTTGAAACGAAGCAGATTAATAATATTATTATTAAATTATCGTTCGATGGGCAGTTGCCATTGACCAGGAGCATAAGCCTAGGATTCATCCTTACTAAAATTCATTAGTAAACTCTGTATCTGCAACCACAAAGAGACTGACGTTTCTTCTCAAATCCAAAACTCGATAGTTCATTGGTTGTATCTCTCACTGTAAAATTCGATAACGGTTTTTCAAATGACAGGAATGAAGCCAAAATAAACTTTAAGCACCACTAACTACCAATGGAGTGCCACCACACCAATGACCTTGGAACGTTCACTGAGCAAGTTATTAAAACCTGACAAATAATTATTGAATTGAATTTTTGATTTTCCCGTCGATTGATTGGACCGAAGTGCTCGGTCTCAGGTTGACATGTCGGCTTCTTGTGCAGATGCTTCGACGATGTCTGGGCATTTAGTTAGTATACAATTGGTGGATAGTGGCTAGCAGTGGAATCCAGGATAAAGCGCATTTCGTCCTATTTGGGACTCGTCGGCTGGATGCACCTGCATTTCTCAGTGAGTGATGATGTTCCCACCGAGGCTCGAACCCAGTACCCATAGTTTCAAACGCCAAAGCGTTATCCACTAGACCACTTGGGCCACGAGAGCCACCTCTTGTCTAGTGGATAACGCTTTGGCGTTTGAAACTATGGGTACTGGGTTCGAGCCTCGGTGGGAACATCATCACTCACTGAGAAATGCAGGTACATCCAGTTGACGAGTCCCAAATAGGACGAAATGCGCATCCTGGATTCCACTGCTAGCCACCATCCACCGATTGTATACTGACAAATAATATTGTTGTCATCAATAAAATATGCTCATCGAAGTGTTATGTTATTAGATGGGATATCTAGCAAGTTTCAGCTTAAGTTTGGGATCGATTAAGTTATGCTTTAAGCCAAGGACAAGTTAGAGTTAGGTTAACCCAATAAAGGTGACATTAGGGTTGATTCGAGTTAGATTACAGTTAGTTTAGGGATATTTCCACGTTAGGGTTACAAGAGCTAAATAATTACATGTATAAAATGTAGTTAAATAACTCTGTTGATATAAGAGTAGGACTTGTGCACTGTGGTGGTGGAGTATAATTCCATTGTGGGTAAAATTTATTTTCATAAATTCTCACAGTGTTAAACTGTAATATTTACTAATGACTACGTTTCGAGCACAATTTATTGCTCAGAAAATATTACTGTACAACACCGTGAGACTTTATCAAAATAAATCTTACACACAATAGAATTACACCCTGTTGATGCACCAACATAAAACTGCAAGCTATTTTTATCCCATGTGAGAGGAAGATATCCTCTGTAACAGTTTTCTACAGTTTCTAAGCATTTTCTTTAATAAATATATGTGTATCCCGTATATAAAAATGGCTCTTTCACGTGATTGGTGCGTTTAAGGTCATTTGCTGATTGGTAGTTAGTTAGTGGTGCTTAAAGTTTAACTTTGCCCACTATCACATCAAATTCTTTCAGGGTTGTAGACCCATGTTGCTTTACTCATCTTCATCGTTTTCAACCAGTTGCCTATACATTTAGGCAAACAGCCATGGAAGTAATGCATTCAGATATTACATGAAAAACAATCACACGTATACATATTAATGTATATTGTACGAAATGTATTCACCTACCTTAGAGTTTAAGTAAATTGTTGACAAAGGTACTTCAGTTGAACCGATTAAATGATGTTCAACACGTTGTATGTAGTGTGATGATAATGACGTTGACAAGGCTTCTTGCTGTTCACCTTCTGCCTGACTGAATGTCACTTGATCGTATACATTAATAATGATTGGATCTTTCATACATTCTAAATTTGGTGTTTCCGCTGTTAAACTGACCAGTGAAATAATAAAGAAGTAGATTCGAGATGGGTTTTGAAATGGGGAATGAAACACTACACCAAATTTAATGTAGGGTAAAAATTTAAAGCATTAACAGTTAGGCACATTTTTATCAGACAACAGTTAGAAGAAACTATTATTTTTATTGTGATTATTTCTTTAGGGTTCCGAGAAAGACATAGGGCTTCAATAGCATGTCATATACCCAGTTTGTCCTGTTCTCTGAGGTCCACTTTAACAGGCCCGATGAATGCACATAGACTCCAGTATCCTCCTGACACACTTTTACTTCAATATCATCCTCGTCTCTCAATCGGGTTCCACACAAGGGCCTCTCACGTGATCTTCTTCTGTAGGCCTCCTCACCGTATGTCCGACCCATCTTATTTCTATTCTCTATATCACTTGAGAAATAAGTTCCAGAGTTTCTTTTGCTAATTATTTCTGGCTGTCCATCTGATATTTAACACAGAGCCAGAGAAGGCGGCTATCGACAAAACTCTACCGCTTTTGTGGAAGTGCTTTAAGTGATGCGCCAAGTTTCTGACACATCCAGAAGAAGTGATTGACTCAACACTAGTATCGAAAGTTCAAACCTTATTTCTTATGCTAAGTCAGTGCAGAGGATTTCCAAATTGATTTCAGGTTCATGAAAGCCTGTTTGATTGGTTTTTTGGGTTTTTCTTTTTGCTGTCCCTTGGTTAGTTGATTATATTTATCACCTCCGTCTTGTCTATGTTCACCTGGAGTCCTGTCTTCACTGCCAGCCAGCCAGCCAACCTCTTCTACCAGTTTACTGGTTTTCGCCCGTGTATCTTCGAGTTTGTGTGACAGTCAATAGAAATCATCACCAACGAAATCCAGATATTCTAGAGTCCTTCTTATCGGTGGTCCAAAATATTCCTGTCTTATCACTCCCCATTTATGGTGTTCCACACAAACCAGTCCATCACAATCAAAAATGTCATTTGTGACAGTAGTGGGCAGTCTCAAACGCTTCGCCGACTTTTCCAATGCGGGTCACTTGACACCTGCTGTCGTCATATAGCTGTCAAATTAGTTTGTTAAGCATTTCCGGCACGCCAAAGTGTTGGAGTTATTTCTAATCTAAACATATTGAAATTTCAAAGTAAAATACGCAAATAAACGAATCGAGTGGCGAAAAAACCACCAATATCCTCAATAGTACAAGAGATATTTATGGATAGTTTGAAACTTAAAACTCCCAAAACTTTTAATCCTATTCTCTGGTTATGGCGAAGACATGGATGATTTATCATTGTTATTATATTTTTATATTGTCCTTCAGTTGCTAGATCAACATAGGGCTTCAGTCGCACGTCTCCATTGCGTTCGGTTCTCCACCAACGTTTTCATCACCTGGCTACACGTCTGCCCACATGCCTTCATCTCCTGTTCACGTGACTTCCTCCATGTTACCCTCGCACTGATGACCAACTCGCCGCTTCCCATTCAGTGGAGTTCCACTCAAGCGATAGTGTGGCATGTGATATCAATTGATGGTTTGCCTTCTCAGAGTATGACCAATCCACCTTCATTTCTTCCCCTTTAACTCTTGCACAATCGGTTCCTGGTTCGTTGGTTTGCTCCTAGGGATCTCCGTTGCTTATCTTTTCTGGTCAACCATCTGATCTTAAATAGTATTGAGCGAAGACAGCTATTGGTGAACGTCTGTAGTTTGTTGCAAGTGGCCTTCGTGACGCAACGTGTCGCCAAGTCTCTGATCCATATAATGAGTGGCACTGACTTCACAGTGGAATTGAAAATCTGAACCTTATTTTGCATGCTAAGTAGTGCTAGTGATCTCCACACAGACTTGAGGGTAATGAAAACCTGCCTTACTTTTTTCGATTTTCGCTTTGATGTCCTCATCAGTTCCGTCCGGGTGTATTTGAAACGACGCTTATTAGGTAGGCAGGAAGGTAAGGAGGATTGCTTCTTTCAGATTTCTTCCATTTATGCTGGCAGATTGTTGTCTGTTGTTGTTGTTGCTGCTGTTGCTGTTGGCCAGGAATCTTCATCACTTCTGTCTTCTCAATGTTCATCTGAAGTCCTCCATTTGACGCTGCTTCTGCCAACATGTTACTTTTCACTTGCATACCTTCTAGACATATATCATCGACGAAATCCATATCCTCCAAGGTTTCGGGTGGGTCCACTTTTATGTCTGTCTCCTCGCTGCCCGCTGTCTATCGCATTATCCAGTTTACCATAATCAGGAAAATCATTTGAGATAGTAGGTAGCCAGATTGTCTTACTCCTGTCCTTACTTCGAAGGATTTCATGAGTTTCCCGTTGTGGATAACTTGGCATGCAGCATTGTCGTACAACTGCTGGATGAGGTGTATAATTGTTGGCGGTACCCCAACAATTACACACCTCATCCATGAACAGTTGAGCACATCTTTTTCAAGCAACCAGCGGAAATAACGTTAAAATAAGATATTAAAAGTAGTTAAGACTACAGAGTATGGAGCTACGAAGAAAAGACTTCAGTGCTGAAATGTATCACTAAAAGTAACTAGTTGAAGGATCGTATATAACTTTTTGTTGAAGTAACAAAATAATGCAGCCGCAAATCCCATTTACTACAACCGCACACTAGACCATGTCACTATTTGGTCACATATGTTCGATTCCTCATCTGGGTCCACTATAAACGGTGTATACTCACTCCTAACACTTAAGTACGTCTTTAGGAATTCTCAGTATGGCTTGCGAGAGTGACCTCGTACGGTTTGTGTAAACTATTTGATCTTCATCATTTTGCTTCGAGAAGAGTCTCAGGTTTGAAACTGTCAAGTTCTAGTGGAGGTGAATGAGGGTCAATGGCGTGACGCCTGACCTTCCCTTTCCAAACTGACTAGTAGCTAGCAAATTAGACAGGGAATAGGAGTGCGTCTGTAGAGCATCTGAACCAGATCTAGCTAACAAGTATTCTACCAGTGAACCTCTGGGTGGGAGGAGGGGGGCGAGCTGCTGAAAGTTATGACTCCCTCTCAAGTTACTTTTAATCTACCGACGCAACGAAATATAAAATTAGGACTTACAAGAATCCGAATCGAAATTCTGTATTCCAACTTGGATTTCTACCTTCAGATGGAATCGTGGATTTTTTGTGCTGTTGAAATTTTACTTCAACAAATGGTTTTAAAGGCTAAAGAAATACAAAATCATACGGAAAGTTTAAATAAGTAAGTATGAGAACGTAGGCACCAATTTGAAATATATACCTCTAATTTTACCAAATCTTTAATTAAATTCTAATGTAAAAGACGTCACGAACTAACAATCAGTAAGAGAATATCTAAAGCCACAGTTGTTCTACCTTGGTTTCGTACTGTGTAGTGGTGAACACTTAAGACGCCACCAGGGGTGGAACCCAGGACCTTCAGGTTACTAGAACATTTTCGTTGACCATTCAAACAGTCTGGCCACAATTCGATAAACCATGAATTAGATGGTTGAAGGCAATAGGCAGGACAAGGGGGCTGGTAACAGATCGTTTTGTTACGGAAATCAGCACGTATTTATATATATATATTTCATTTACATTATTACAGCTTATTCAAGCAGACAAACACAGTCTTTTGATTGGTTGTTTCTGGTTTCTCAGAAAGTTAAGCCATATATATTTGCAAATCTTGTTTGCCCACGTTTGGTCTGCTTTGAGTGGTTATTATATCAGCCTTGTTCATATTTTCTCACGGGCGATATTAGTGACCTAGACATTGACGTAAATTAATGTCTACCAATAGCACTGGAGAACTATATGGACTATCGGCTTCTTCAATAATATCATCCTTCAACATCTCTTCAACTTGTCTTGCGACCTCGCTTTCTAAGTGTCACGGGACTCCGCTTGTCACTAGAATTTCGTGTCCATTCATCAAAAAACCATGAATTCTAACTATATCAATTCATGTGATGATAGCGCTGTCAGAAATTTGCTCTTCTTGTTGAGATTTCAGGAGATCTTCAAACTGAATGCAGAGTGAGATAAATGCCTGTCTAGTCTTTCCGATTCTGACTGGCTTTGACATCCCCATTTCTTTCTATCTACCTTTAGTTGAAACAAAATGCTTCCTAGATAGTCGAAGCAAATAACCTCTTAAAAAATCCCCCACCACCACCACCACCATCCAATAGACAGTGACTGGTGCTTGTTATAGTTTTTCGGTTATCTTGTTGTTTTGAACGCATAGAGGTGGTTTGAACTTTCTACTTGCCAACTAGGGCTTCCAAAAACCCGTGATCAAACGCCTAAAAGTATGAAGATAAGGATGGATCAGAACCTGTTGCAGGTGACTCCTTATCGCAAAGAAACATCGGGTGAGATAAAGCGAATTCTCAGCTATCATGACATAAAAGCGTATTTTCATGCAACTAACACACCTTACGCTCATCACTCATGAAGACTAAGGATAATACAGAAGAAGAAGAAAACCAACAGAATTGTATGTACCATATGAATCGTGGGCACTGTGACGCCGTATATGTAGGAGAAACTTCCAGACAGGTAAAAAATATAAGAGTGAAAGAGCATAAACAATGTCTAAAGGTGGTTGGTTTCAAAGACCTCTGCAGATATAAAGAAGCTGAAAAACAGATCAGCTATTGTACTGCATTGGATAGAAACAGGACATAAAATCAACCTTAATAGGACTAAAGTTCTACAAAAAGGTTTTGTTTCATATAAAGAAAGATTGACTACAGAAGCCCTGCATATATGAGTGAATCCCAACAGTTTGAACAGATGTGTATAGGTGATCTTGTTAGCTGGTGCACGGCAAATCCTGATTAATAAATAAAATTGGAGATATATCACTAATTCATCATATCTGCGTGTCGGTGGCACAGTGGTTAGGGCCCTCGCCGACCATGCAAATGGTCGGGGGTTCGATTCCCTGTCGACGCACAACTGGTATCTGTGGTCGGCGTGCAAAATTTGGGCTACCCATATCACATGCTGAAAATTCCATACCTGTACCAAATAATACGATGTGGAATCAAGCTGTAATCCGAAGAAAAAATAAAATAGATTCCCGATTGTCCACATCTTCATATGGAGAGGCTAACAAGAATTTTATGACTGTTCACCCACACACACATGTATGCACACACCATTGTTTACCGCATTGAAGGCTGCCGTGGTTAAAAAGACTTTTTATGCAGCTAATATCATGATAATTGAGAATGCGGTCTAGTGGATAACGCTTTGGCGTTTGAAACTATGGGTACTGGGTTCGAGCCTCGGTGGGAACATCATCACTCACTGAGAAATGCAGGTACATCCAGCTGACGAGTCTCAAATAGGACGAAATGCGCATCTTACTGGATTCCACTGCTAGCCACTATCCACCAATTGTATACTAACTAAATGCCCAGACATCGTCGAAGCATCTGCACAAGAAGCCGACATGTCAACCTGAGACCGAGCACTTCGGTCCAATCAATCGACGGGGAAATCAAAAATTCAATTTAAAAGTACACTCTGTTTAAAGTGTGTAACAAAAGTAGACTGAGGTCAAATTTTGATTACAGTTCATGCAGTTTTTTGCGTAGAAATAATAGATTAGCTATGGGGTGTTAAAATAAATAGCATTTTTGTGACAAACATGTTAGGCTGAAATCGATTACAATTTTGTTTATTATACATGTTGATACCTGTTACATGACTCATATGATTGGACAAAGTATTTCACAAACAAGAGATGTCCTCTCCTTTGATGTGAACGCTTTATGCAGTAATGTACCTTTGCTTCAAGCTGTTGACATTTTGTGTAACTACACTGCCACACACAAGTTTTTCATCCCGTTCCCTATGTTTATTTATTTATTTAAGGGTTTTATTACTTCTGTGTACAAGCCATGTTGGGTTTACATATGAAGGTAATTGTTTCCATCAGATTGATGGTGTTGCTATGGGATGTCTCTTAGGGAGGCCCTTTTAGCAGATTTCTATATATCGTACATTGAGAGTTTATCGGAGGATTTAATAGAAAATGTAAACTTTTATAGGAGATATGTAGATGATATTATAGTCATAAGTGATAAGCGCCTTGTTCCGCCACCTCAGTAGAAGAGAAAGATAATTGTTCATCTTTCCTAGACATATTGCTTAATTGACGGTTTGATGTGTCAATAAAAAGATCTATTTATGGAAAACACACTTGGACAGGACAGTATCTTAATTATCACAGTTTCTGCCGTATTCGGTACAAAAGAGCCTTAGTAAGGTGCTTCTTCAGTAGAATCCAAGGAATATGCACTGAAGATAGGCGCACTTGATGAAGAAGAAAGAAAGTTGACACAAACGCTGGTTGATAACAATCATATCCAAACAAGTTGATAGGGAGATATAAAGTAGTCAGTGGAAAACCAAGACCCACTCTACAACTCGCCATTAAGAAAGACGTGCACATCAACCTACTCTATATGGGCTATCCTGTATGCGGCATCATAGCTGCTTGATAACTAGACAAAGATTGCAGGCTGCCGTGGTTAAAAAGACTTTTTATCCAGCTAATATCATGATAATTGAAAATGTGAAGCCAATATATCCATATAAGCCCTTCGAACATGCAAAAATGATGTCACATCCCACTGTACTGCAGACAGAATTCCCAGAACCCATTGATAGTGAGAACTGGAGAACTAACTCCTCTATTGAGAGACATATTATAGAGACAGGACATAAAATTGACGTTAGCAGATCTTTAACCTATCTATGAAACGTATCTTGGGCGTATCCTGAAGTTGGGGAAGCCCTAATCGGCAATTAGAAAGTTTTAACCATCTTTATGCGTTCAAATATAATTTGTCATCACACAAAATCTTCCTTGGTAAACTTAGTTTTGAAATGTGTATAGATGTACTATTACTTCCGTTATTAAGAAGACAATTGCAGCGAAGAAAATTTTCTTTTCGACGAAGTCATCATCTAGGCTGTACATTCGTGTATTTATATCATAAACAGGTAATTTTTTAGTAATGACCATCCCATTGCCTTTCTTATCTAAACTTCTTGTTTATTCATGTTATTTTAAGTTTTTCTTAATCCCTGTTTACACGACCATATTTTCATACCCTAACATCGTGTTTGTTTTGTCATTTTACTATTTCTACACATTTAATCCCTGATTGCGTAAACAGTTATTCATCACAGTAGTTTTTTATCCAAACATCCTGTCCATTTTGTTATTTCTACATTTCTAACCCCTAATTGCACGATGTCAATCTTCTTAGTTATTATTTATTATGGCATTCTAATTCCTAATTTTAATTTTTAATAATTTGAACCTTAACCAGAAATTATTCTGGAACTTTCCCATCCATTTGATATAAATACACGAATGTACAGCCTAGGCAATGACTTCGTCGAAAAGAAAATTTTCTTCGCTGCAATTGTCTTCTTAATAACTTCTGTTATTCGGTTTAGTGATCTTCATTATTATTTCGGCCTTCAATATGTCTTTTTAACTTGACCTAAACGGTCTATTTATTCACCGCTTGACTCTATCTTCACTAATTTCATATATATTCCTATGACAGGTCCATGGGTGATCATCACATTGTTAGAAATGTGTTGCGCGAATACATTATAAGCATAAATTCTTATAAAATTCTTATGAACAAGTGTAGTGAACAATAAAGAAGAGGGGTGGGCAGAACACTTTATTTTTCGTCATCCTATACGTTCCTAGCGGAACATATAGCTTCAAACTAGAGGCTTGAAATTTCCGTAGCATTGGTATTCATTTCCACGGGATCAGGTTGCTAGCCTCATGCCAGACCTTCCCTCTTTACCAGTCTTAACACTACTGAATTAATGAGGTGAAGGAGTATGTCGGCCGGGGATCAAAACCCGGACCACATGCATGATCGGTCCCCTGTGCCACCAAATCAGAAGAGATGAGTTGATTTATGCCAGAGCAAATTTTCAACTTATTTATGTAATCAGTGATTGTCTACCTAGTGACAGAAAGTACATGAAAAATCGATTTCCATGTTAACATTAACAGTGATAAAAAGTCATAAGGAATTAAAAATGCCATCATAGAATTCAATACGCCAAAAGCTTACATTATTCCTATCCTCTATTTTATTATCTCTATAATCTGATTGGTCAGTTCTCTTTCTACTTCGTATAGGTAAATTATAAGCACCGTGAATGGTAACAATCAACTGTAAACCACAATCGTGTACATACTGCGGACCAATACGACGACGTTCTTGATATTTTGGTCTTAACGGTCGCTTTGGTTCAAATAATCTTTTAAATAATGGCAATAAAAATCTAAAATAGGAACAAGAAAATTGTTTAAAGCTACTTATACTACTAACAACAATAAAGTAGCATAATTTTCATTTTTCATTTTTCGGTGTTTTGTTCCTATGGTGATCTCTTACGGCTTGGCGTTGACAACTTCGCATATCCAACCTTATATCTTAACTAGGCGTACCGTACTGTCTGAGTGATTGTGAAGTTCGTTAGCTGAAGGTTGAACAAGATCACACAGTCACAGTATCACCGAATATCAAAGATTTAATTTTCAAGTGGAACATAGGGCTCTAACAACACATCCCAACTTTGTTCTATTTTCTCTAGTCCTCTTTACCTGGGTCCACGACTAACCACAATCTCTCATCGTTCGACGGCCTCCTAAGACTATACCCTACCGACCCATCTCTATTTCCTCCTACATATTTGTTGAGCAGTCGGCTCTCGTCTGTTGATTTGTTCCACTGCAGAGTATCTTGGTGCTAACTTTTAATCTTCAGAATTCGATACGGCCACCTCTAATTCTTTTTCAACCCGCTTCTATCTTAGCTAATGTTGGTTGACAAAGAAGGCGGGCGTAATCACCTAGTAGTCAGATAACAGGAAGCTCTGGTTGGCTTCAGTTTACGTGTTCTTCTACATCAGTCATGAAGGAAGCTACACCTGAGAATTTAGACTTCCTGAACATTTATATTCTCCGCAAACTCCACTAGTAAGCTAAGCAAAACAGAAACAGTATTCTGTAGGAGAGTATTATGTATATATGATAGAGAAGATTTGTAGTTCAGGTGGACGATTTTGATGTGGTTGTGTTCTCTGAGCTGGATAGTTGATTTGCGAAGCTTTCGTCACTCAAAAGACTCAACAGCGAAAGAAGATAAAACCAACATCATCTACAAAATAGCCATCAAAAGACATGATATCCACTCCCTCATATCGCCCCGCTATATACAAATAACCACGGACATCAGTTCGACTGGAACAAGCAGCGTTCAAATATTAGACAGAGGAAACAACAAGAATGCTAGAGAAATTTTCGAAGCCTGACTGGTATTCCAGTGAATCATCAATCAATAGACACATCAAGATAGACAAAATTTATCAACCGATAAGAAAAGAACCTCACACACACAAAGGGTCAGAGTTCAAGTCAAAGAAACAATCATTTCCAATACAAGTAGCCGCCTAGAGGGTGTGAAAACACACAAAAACAACCAATCACGTTCAAGGTAATTCACCAGGAGAGATGATTAACAAACCCGTGGAGAAATCTAAAAGCTCACTTCAACAGATTGAAGTATGCGCTGAAGATGTCACCTAGTAGGGTGATGAACGCTTCGTAAATCAACTATCCATCTAAAAGAACACAACCACATCAAAGTATTATGTATGCATGTAAATAAGCAATTTCAGATGGCGATGAGTATTTGACAGCTTCTTTGTAGGATTCCTTCAGTAACAACAAATTAAAGAGAAAACTCAAACGAATGATTTGAAAACCAGAGAGAATATTCAAATTGTCTGTAAAATTATGCGAAAAATGAACCACATAATAGTCTGACTGCAGTGCTGGTCATCGCTAAAAATGACTAATATCTGATTGGACAATTACTTGCCTGTATGTCTATCTATCTAAGAAATTAGTATTATTGATTTATACAATGTGAATTCTGATTGGTAGAAATTTAAGATAACTGTAAATATCGTATAAAGATTTCTAAAATATTTATAAATACAGTTTAATGAACTTACAAGATATTAGGTATCTCTTCTTCGATAACAATTTCTCGTAGGGATTTTTTATTTAACGCCTCTTGAAAATGTTGATTCACCTCGTTTTTTATCTGAATTAAGTATAAATATTATACACATCGAGTTAATATTCTTTTTGATAGACTAATTGAGTTTATTTTCAGAACGTGCCTTGTTACAGGCATGAGATACCAGTTGTTGGTGTGAAAGCTTCAGTGTTATACAAGAAAGCATTATCAGTACCGCATCCGTTGTCCTGTTCACCTTTCAGTAATAAATAAATAATAATTTTTCCTTCACGTTCCCAGTGGAACATAGGGCTCCAAGCTAGTGGCTTGAAGTTTCTGTAGCAGTGTTTATTTTACAGGATGCGGTTGCTAGCCTCATGCCCAACCTTTCCTCTTTACCGACATTATTTCTGGCTCAGTGAGGTAAAGGAGTGCGCCGGCCGGGGGTCGAACCCTGGACCATATGCATGGCCGGTGAGCGTCCTAACCGCCATACCACCGACGCTCACATTTCAGTAGTTGTGGTTAATTCATAAAACTCGATTCCTTCTAGCTTTGAAGGTAACAGCAGGTAACGTTCGATAAAAATGACAGATAGCCAGATAAATTGTTCAACTCTGTGAAAATAATGTATCACTGAAAGAGTCCATTGAAGACCTATATATCAGTTGAAGGAATATTCACAATCATCCTGTATAATCTATCAATTGTTACTTTTCAAATATGTATTATATATATATATACGACTCTACAGCTTGATAATAAATTCGTTGCTCAAAAGAGGCCCTTCGCTGAATATTGTGTTCTTAATACTGCAATGGGAATTATTTAAATATTAATATACGCTTTAGTTATCTAATATTCACATTTATTTCATATAACTGAATGATTGTCAAACATTCTATTTTATTAGAAGTTAATTAGTGGATGGTGACTAACAGTGGAATCCATCCAAGATGCACATTTGTCCTCCTTGGGATTGACTCGTCAGCTGGTTGTACTTGTATTCTGCAGTGAGTGATGATGTTCTCAGCATGGCGTTTGAAAGTATGAACACTGGGTTCGAGCCTCGGTGGGAACGACATCACTCACTGCGAAATACAGGTGCATCCAGCTGACGAGTCAATCCCAAAAAGGACGAAACGTGCATCTTGGCTGGGTTCCACTGCTAGTCATTTCCACCAAGTGACTTCTAATATTACATGCCTAGACATCATCGAAGCATCTGCCCAAGAAGAAGCTGACATGTCAACCTGAGAACGAGTGATTCAGTTCAATCAATCGACGAAAAAATCTAAAATTGAATTCTATTTTATTATCACCAGCCAAGTAACTTATAAAAGCGGTCGTAAAGAATCTAAGAAGTGATGATATCACCACACAATAATATTTCTATTCTTAATCCCTTATTTCAAATTACAAAACCTTGTCATCTTCTCGAGGTTACTTGTTCTGTTGACAAATAGAGACGGGATCGAGAATGCGTGTTTCACCTTATTTTTGGGGCTCGTTAGTTGGGCATACCCTACGCTAAGTGATGGCATTCCGATAACGACTCGAATGCAGCATCTGTCGCTTAAAATACGAGAGGGTTATTCACTAGGCCACTGAGCCACAGGAGACATTTCTTGTGTCGGCAAGCACTAAAACAATCAAGTCTAAGTTACTTCTCAAGATTAAATATATATCGAAAAGTTGATCCAGGAACTGATCGTATCAGGAAAAAACAGATCAGTGGGAAATTACATATGTGAATAAATAATCTTACAATATATTTAACTAAGGAAAACAGTATCGTTTATAGTACTCAACGATTGTTATAATTTTGTGTATTAGATTACTCACCTTATCAATATACATTTTATGCCTTTGTTTATAGGCTTTCATGCCCTTCAGTGTACTGTAATGTGTATCAAAACTTTTCTTTTCATTCAATGACTATAGAAATCCGAAAAAAAATTAAATAAATAAGTAGGCAGTATAGAAATTAGTAAAATAAAAGTATTAATCTGGCTAACTTGTTTGAACTGGACACACGTTTCGTCCTTGTCTAGGACTCTTCAGAAGAACGGAAGCCTCTTGGAGTCGAATCCATGACTTCCAGGTTGCAAAGCAGGCTGGCATATCAGCGAGCTACTGGAATGAAGCACATACATCAATCCCTAACCTCAAATCCCCACAAACCAACTTCTGACTAATCACAAGGTGTAGTTGTGTGAATTTCTAGTGGGAAATCGTCACCAAGGAAGCTCCAATAAGTTCGTTGTGAGACCACCTACTTACCAATGGCACTAACCGGCCGTCGCTTTATATATATATATATATATATATATATATATATATATATCACAAGTTGGCAGCAGTTAGTATTCGTAGGCCATTGGATTCTGTCCAAGTAGCGGAATGGTGTATGAATTCGCCTTGTAATCTGAAGATCAGGTATTTTCATAGGTTTTAGCGGTACTCGAACTGAATTCAAGAGAAACTTTAAAAAACCTCTACAAACTAACGCATGACAACGTTTACAGCTGTAAAAACAGAATTCACTGTAATCATTAACATTATCATATCTGAATGTGTACAGCGAATGTACGTGCACTACTGACAAGATTTTATAAGTAGTTTATTGTGTGTTATATCTTCTGCAAGAAACTTGTAGAGCAGACAGACGAATAATCTTACGTAGAGATGGAGTGAAACAGCTCCAATGTCAAATCATTGAGTATCCTGTCGTTACACTTGGATTATCATCGTAAAAGAGAAGAAGTGAATTACAATCCGATAGGAGATACTACTGTTTGACTCGATATAAGTATTCGGAGACCAAGTAGGTTTTTCTAGCTTCATTAAAGTAACACTTATATGGGATCACTGTGTTTAGTTCTTTCAGTAATAGATTCATCACCAGTAAATTTGAATCACCTGAGATTAGAGAGCAGAATCAGTTGTCTACTTGTGAAACTCAGCTTCCCATCAAAGAAAGTGTATAAAGTGTACAAAAACGTTAGCTCTGCCATCTGAGACAACATCGTTGAAACTGGATAACGTAGAGAAACTAGCTCAGTAATAAAATAATTTGGCGTAAAGTATTAGGTGATAAGCAAAAAACAATCGACAGAGATTGATAATTTAATAATTCCGATTATACCATTAAGAACACAATATTCAGCGAAGAGATCCTTTTCAACAACGAATTTATTATCAAGCTGTACAATCGTATATATATATATATGGTTTTTTTAAAGACATTATATCCGGTGAGGGAATTACATCTAAAGTGTGAATACATGAAATAATAATAGTATGAAATGCAATCAAAATATGTGTGATTATAATCATAGTTTAATGTCAAGTGGCAAAATAATCAATGTCATATATAGAATAATACATAAGGTGTATAGATTTTGGAAAGGGGTAAATAATTATGGGATCAGTGGACGAATATAAAATGTTACATAACATGGTGTGAAATTTGATAAGATAGAATTCAATATTGTAAAAATAAAAAATAAACACTTTTTGTATTTTGAATGACAAGTGGGACAAGTGGAAACAATTCAGAATAAGAGTAGTAATAGTAATACTGATAATAATAATCGTAGTAATAAGGGAAACGTACATAGAATAACTAAATAAACAAAATTACTAGATGTCGATCCCTCTATGGCCAAGGCAGAAGTAGGCATTGTACATACGTCTTTTGTACACAAAGGTCTTACCTAAAGTCATGAATTGCAAAGGCCTCAGCTGTCTTTAGAAGTCTGTAACGAGGAAAACGCGGGAAGTAAGCATGGATTCTATATATGATCTTGAAATCCTGTTCAGGGTTGACAGAGTGACATAAGTCGATCAGGTGTTCCAGAATAGAGCTTCGCACACATTTCCTTTCTTCCTTGTAAAACCAAGCTGGAACATGTTCTCGTATCCGTGTAGAAAGCGTCCTCTGGCTACACCCAATGTACCTTGCTTCACAAGAGCAGGTGAACTGGAAGCTGTCAGACGAGGGTACCTTATGTTTTACACAGATGGAAAACAACTTGTGGTTGATGAACGCCATTTGTAATTTTGCTGCAAAGAACTTCTAACTGGCTGATTTGATGGAGAGAAGGCTTTTGAGCATATCTGAAGCTTGATCACCTTTGAATTCCCAGTTCATGAATCAGATTTTCTTTGAAAATGAGTTGGTGACCAGTTTAGACTGCTTATATTTCATGTTACTGTCAAAAAATCGGTTAGAGTAACCACTTTCTGCTAGTGTGGCTTTTAAGAAGACAAGTTCTGAGTCAACGCAATCAGAACTACAAATGTTCCTTATCCTAAAGCAGAGTGAATGAATTAATTCATACCGTTACATACATTACATATGAAGTTCACTAGCCGCAAATTGTTCTCTACCTCTGTAAAAGATGAGCCCCCCCCGTCTGACCGCCTCCATGTGCATCTATCAGTTCACCTGCTCTTGTGAAGCAAGGTACATTGGGTGTAGCCAGAGGACGCTTTCTACACGGATACGAGAACATGTTCCAGCTTGGTTTTACAAGGAAGAAAGGAAATGTGTGCGAAGCTCTATTCTGGAACACCTGATCGACTTATGTCACTCTGTCAACCCTGAACAGGATTTCAAGATCATATATAGAATCCATGCTTACTTCCCGCGTTTTCTTCGTTACAGACTTCTAAAGACAGCTGAGGCCTTTGCAATTCATGACTTTAGGTAAGACCTTTGTGTACAAAAGACGTATGTACAATGCCTACTTCTGCCTTGGCCATAGAGGGATAGACATTTATTTACTTTGTTTATTTAGAGATCGATAATTCCATTGACTGAGATGCCTTGGATGTGTCTTACTCATGTCATAGCATCCCTAGATGAGTAATGTTAGCTGATATAGAATAAATTGTAAAACAGTTAGACGTAATCAACTCAAAACATTGACTGCTGACATTAGGCAGGTAGGCTGATGTAGACTGACTGGCCTCGGTCTCCGAAATGCTCAGAATCAATAACTCGAGATTGTTATTTATACAGCTGGAAATCGTTCTCAACAGCTCAGACACACTCATTCTTCTCCGATCCCTTGATCATATTAAATTTTCATTGTTCTCTGCGGAATTATTCTCCCTCTCTCTGTCAGGTGTTTCCGCTCATTATAATCTCTTTACATCTCTTCTCGTTTAAAAACCCCCATGCATCATTCTTCTGAATTGTGACAACTTGAACTGCAGCGATTAGGTGCGAACATTTATGTTGAAAATACAGTTAACTTCACACTTCAGGTCAGTTAAGAATTCTAAATTCATCATTTACTAAGTAGACCTCAATGGCATGCCAGGAGTTCATATGTGAGAAATCCAGGTCGAGATAAAATTCCACTATGATCTACTTTATAAGTCAAAAATTTTCAAATCACAGTGTATAACCTCCACTAAAGCGATAACAGTACCAATAAAAGGAACCAACCATGTCCCAAGATACACCTACTACTGATTGCAATAGGCAGTTGGAAATCAGTCAGTGTGAAGGGATTGTAAACCACTGTCTGTCTGTCTGTCTGTTTTTGACATAGAACTTTGCACCTATGTGCAGCAGTTCAAGTCACCACACTCCCCTCCATGTAGCACACAAAGTCGGTAGACAGGGATATGAGACAAAAAGAATAGTTATATCGAAGACCAATATAGTTTTATTGGAAATCATAGGTCACAAGGACTGCGCCAGCCATTGACAACGAAGATTTTGAGTCATATCACCAATTGTCTCCAGCCACTGGTTTGTACTGTCCTGGGGACCTTAACCAGTCAGGAAGTCTACACCTTCCTACGTAGCTGGCTTAAACTAACTGTTGTGCATTTCGTTGAGTAATGCATTGTTTTGGTTTGACCACCACTGTTTCTTTTCCAACCTCATCCAATGTCAACTAACATTCCCCGTCGGGGAAGGCGATGACTAGGCATACGTGAATCATGTCCTTATCATCTCAGTCGATGTAGATTCACAGCCTCGTCGATTGATTTCCCCTCCCACCTAACTAGCACTCGATGCCTAATCTCAATATTTCTCATCGTATTATACCACTTCACACGGGAGATAGAATGCAGGCACCTATGATCAAATACAGAACAGTGAAACTGATGAAATTTAGTCGGCAGGTATAATCACTGAGTAGTAAAGTCACACAGGGTGACCTAGGCCTTTGTAAAATCTGTCACACTGCTGTTACGGAACGCTTGTAAGTCGGGAAAGGTGCCTACTAATAGGGAGAATTGTTATATTGTCAAACCACAGAAGTAGGTGAGAGGGACTTAAACATCTGCAACATCTGGATTGGAATCGTTCTCCTGTCCACCGCAAGTAAAATATTAGGTTCAGTCACCAGAACAACAACTCCGAAAAATGCTGAGTTCAGGAAAATTGAGTTATGTACGAATTATAATCAAACGCTACGCATAATCATCATAGAATACAGTAGAAAATGGTAGTCACATCTCTGTCTCAGCTTCGTCGCCTTTGAGATAACCCTTCTACAACGCTGACCACTAAATGATTTGGAAACTGTACCAACGCTGTGGAGTGTTCCAAACCTATGTGAATTTAGTTTAACAGCCATCTGATAAAGACGCCCAACCAGCGACAACAAATACCAATCACCGTCAACGGAAGACCTCCGAAGGGAATCCATTCATTCATTTAATTGAATAAAGCAAGAACAACAGTGGTTTTCGCAGAATAAAATGGTACTAACATTGCTTATTTCGGTGCCTACTCATCAGCTGCTTAAAGGCCAAAGTCAATTTTAACAATAATGGTCATACACAATCGAAACTTTGGACATTACGTAATCCAATGAAAGGGAGGTGAAGATATCCAGTTACCAGGGTAAGAAAGACCGATAACTGCTTCTTTCTGAACGCATAAATTAGGCTTCAGGCGCTTGATGGACATGGCCACACCGAACTTGACGAGAATTCAACTCTTTTGCCTACTGATAAGTTTTGGAACGATCTGGCGACGTCCACCTCATGACCCGTGGTGTCATGGAGATGCCTGGCACTGGTACTGTTGAAAGAATTTCTTCCTTTCAGACATAAGCTTTTTCGTACATGTCCCTAAAATCGTAGATATGCCCTTCTTTCTGTTATTCCAATGTAACTTCCCCTATTGATAAATGTAAATTTGTATGTGCAGTTGCAGTTGTTAACATGAGAAGGATATCTATCAATTTTTGAATGCATCGATAGACGGGAACGAACTTAGCTGCAGGATAGACTCTGCCTAGTGATGTCCTTAATCTTATCTTAACAACCTTTATAATCAAGTTGAATGCAGATGGGCTTTTTCTCCACTGTGAATTGTTTGACATTTGAGACTTCAGATCTCCCATACTTGTTAATGAACCTTTGAGGGTAATCATTGCTTTTCAGCATCTTTTCGAGAAACATAAATTCTTCCTCTAATTTCGCTATAGAGCATAATCTCCTAACAAACAATCAAACAAAAAAGACAGACCTAGATTGCTTTGAAAGCAGTCGGGAAATTCACTACACTACGTGCAACAGACATAATCAAGCCAGGCCCTCTAAATGGTTCAAAGAATTCAAGTGTCAATAAAAGTGTTTTTAACAAGTTCCAGACTTTCATCAGTAGGCGTCTTCGCTACTTTCTCAATATCAGATGACAACACGGAAATCTGGAAGCGAACCAACCGACAACTTATTCCCCCACCCGAAAATATGCCGAAGAAAATAAAGATGTATGGACTGTATACACACTGAGGAGACTGTCGAGTGAAACCGCTTTGGCAAGCTCTGCCACCCCCCTACAAGATGAACGCAAATGGGAAAGGATGACTTCAATATCCAAGGTGGATATGGAAGAGACTTCTGGAAAGGGGGGAACAACTGATTGTGGAGAGTCGTGGAGCCAGTCAAAGGACATTTCACAAGACAGGATGAAATGCTGATGTATTGTCGAAGGCCTAGATCCTATCTTGCACTTCAGGGAATAAAAATAATAAAGTAGAATCGCACATAGAGATGTATAACTTACATCAAAAATATCCTCTGATATATGCCTTGCATATGATGGTATAATAATATTTTGAAATCCTGGTACACGATTCTGTCTCAAACGGAATAATCGTAAGCGTTTCGATTTGTCCAAATCTTCATCAGTACAAAAATTATAACGTTCAAGGGCATAATCAAGATGAAAGTAATTTGCTCCACCAGCTCTTGTATGACAAAGGACATCTGGTTGATTAGTATTCTGTAGACTGCTTGGCAGCAGGTGAGTTCCTGACATTGTCTATAAAAGGGATCACGTCAAATAAGTATGAAAAATATATTTTTAAGTAAAGCGAAGGAAAAGAGATTGAGGGTTAGAGTATATTCATTATAGCCTTATGGGCGAAGTTAAACTTTCGACACCACTAACTACCAATCAGCGAATTATCCAATGAGATTCACGAACGATGTCGAATTATCCAATGAGGTTCACGAACGCAGTTCAATGTTGTATAGCGCTTGATTCATTTCTAATGCGTGACCTTACAAGGCTATTGTTGCAATTCGAGGAGGTTAGTGTTTTCCAGTATTTCCTGGATTTGAGTTGCTCCGGAAAGAGCGAATTCGTTTGTGTGGTGGTATCATGACTTTAAAAAGCTATACCAAATCAACTGATGGGTTTGTTCACCGTTGTGTTATATGTTTGAAGCCTACTAACGCTAGAGAGGGTAAGCTGATAATTTTAATATTTCGTAGGAACTTTTTTGCTAGGTCGCTTCTCTCCCTAAGGATAGCAGATAGAAAAGCAACTACTCTTATACCTATTATTACCAGACTTGTTAAGCGGGGGTCAATTATACACACCGACGAGTGGAAAGGCTACAATTCACTGTCATCTCTAGGATCTATTCATCATAGAGTCAACCATTCAAGTGATTTTGTTGATCCCGTTACGAGGGCACATACAAATTCTATTGAAGGATTTTGGGGCAGGTTGAAAAATAGGATAAGGGCTATAAATGGATCTCAGAAGGATCTCATTTATAGTCATTTGGATGAATATATGTACAGGATATGGTGTAACTTCTCCATTGACAGTCCCATGCTAAACTGGGAGATGTTCCTCTCACATGTTCGAGAAAGATATCCCATGTAACCTTTTTTATTATCTATTTTATGCTTTTTTCTACAAATATACATTTCCATTCATTATATATGCCTCTTTAATGTGATTGGTCCGTTGAAGGTCGTTTGCTGATTGGTTATTAGTGGTGTCGAAAGTTTAACTTTGCCGCCTTATGATTTCTACTACTCATGTCTAGTGAATCACAGTGTTTTCACATCAAAACTTGGTAGAATATATTTGTCACAACGTCTTATTAAAACTTCTGGACACCGATTCCAAAAATAAGGTCAGCAGTTAGGAGGAGATAAGCATTCATTTACTGGTTCCTCATGAAATTCACGTTTACAGTGTTTGGTGCTTTTTGGCGGTTCTGGCGGTGACTAGGCATCTCCGTCGTCAGTGCCTTCTCTGCGTTCACTTGAAGCTGTATCTCCGCTATCTGCCTCCTCTTTTTCTAGAGAGTTCCGATGTTCTTGCTCCCCATGAACTGCCAAAAGATCCAGTTCACTACAATCAGTAATATCATTAACAACTCCCTTCAAAAGCTTCTCTAAATTTTCCATAGTGGGACACTTGATATGTCTCACTGTCAGATTGCATCAGTGGCACAGTGGTTAGGACTCTCACCGACCATGAAAATGGTCTGGGGTTCCATCCCCAGCCGACGCACACCTGGTATCTATGGTCGGCCTGCTAAATTTAGACTACCGATATCACATGCTGAAAATTTCATACTTGTACCATAAAATACAGTGTAGAATCAAGCTGTAATCAAAAAAATAATAAAAAAGAACAAAAAGGATATGGAGCACGCCATAGTGTTGAAGCAGTCTCCAAATCGCTTTACACGCAACTCTGCCGAAAGTCCTTTCCAATTCCACGCAGATGAGATAGAAGATAGATTGACATTCTACAAAGTATTCCATGATGATGCTTTGTGTTGAATTCCAGTCCTCACATGATTTGCTTTTCATGAACCTAACTTGTTCTGGGTGGCGTTCCAAATCTAGTGCATCTTTTAGTTTCACTGTGGTGACGCGACTTTATATTTGGTTGGTGTGGACAACAGTATAACTCCGCGCCAGTTTTTCCATAGGCCTAAGTTGTCTTCTTCTTTGGCAGCTCGAAAATGTAGCATTTCTTCCTCTTGGTAGGTACCTTTTGTTCTTTCCGAACTTTATTTGTAAGTGGCGTGCAGATATTCACCGATTTCTCTGGATCAGTTTTCAGTGCTTCTGGAGGAATTCTACCTGGTCCTGATACCTTTCTGTCTCTCAATAAATTCATAGAGTTCAAGACGTCTACTTTTATAGGAGTATTCTTTCCCACTAACAGTTCTATGGCTGTTATTGTTGGTATTTCTATGTGAACTCTAAGTGATCACCAACTGAAGTGTCCTTTGAAGTCGTCGGTTCACTGTTTTCCTTCGCTTCTCCTCTATGGTAATTAGGTTCCCTTCACTATTTGCCATATGTTTTGCCTAATAACGAATGACGTGATTCTTATATCACATTTGCTTAGTGGAAAACATTTTAGCATTTGAGGTGAAGGGTACTCAGCTGCAGTCTCATTTGGAATGCCGTCACTAAGTTAAAACACCTAACTGAGTGAATAGAACAACAAAAGTAGGGCCGATTTACTTTTCATAGTGGTAACTAACGGTGACATCTCCATCCTAGATCCCGATCCCAGTCAATATAAGCCTGATTATCTTCGCATTAGTGATCAGATATCGTCGATGCATGCAACCTTGCAGCCGACAAGTCAACACAGAGACACAGCTCTTCTATCTAACATAAGTAACCACAGAAGCATGCAAAGTGAAGCCAAAATCAAAATACTTCAGCCGAAATCATATTTTTTCTCAAAATCTAGTTTTTAAGTTTACTGTTTCAACACATGGTTCTGAGTGTTTGTAATGAATAGGGACTTAAGTCTTTAACACTTCACTAACCACCCCAACCTTCCTCCATTTTAGAGCTTCCTATCGACTCGCAAACTAGACGGGAATCGAATCCGATTCCCCCGGACGTAGCTGACAAGCGTTCCACTACTAAGGAAACTTTATTAGTAGTAAGAATAATAAATTTAACAGTAGTAAGTTCTTACCTGTATTATATTCAATAATTTTGAATCCATTGTATTATTTGGATCAAGGGTTGGCGTAGTAAAATTAAGTTTGTTAGTTATACTACTGTTATTATTATCAGTAGTAGCTGTGTTGAACTTAAAAGTATCACTGAAGAATAGCTGATTCGACTGATACATTTGCATTGAAGGATACAAAAGTGAACGTAAATCTGTAGTGGACTTTTTCATTGAGCTGTTCATATACGCTGATCTACAATAATAATAATAATAATTTAAGGAAAACGAATAAGAATCCTCGTAAATAAACAATATGGTTGGAAGAGTTCTTTTTTGATAATAATAATAATAATAACTTTATTCCGTATAGAAAATCAAAACAAGTGGTGACTCAGAGAAGAGACTCTTTTCAACTAATTTATCATCAAGCTGTACAATTCTATATATATATGGTTTTTAAGAAGTTATATCCGTTGAGGGAATTGAATCATAGGTGTGAATGCATAAAATAATAATAGTATGAAATGCAATTAAAACTAAAATGTCTGTGATTATAATCGTAGTTAAATGTCAAGTAGCAAAGCAAATTAATGTCATATATAGAATAATTCATAGGATGGATAGAACTTGGAAGGGGTGTGCAATTATAGGATTAGTAGACAAATCGAATAAAACAAAAACGTTACGTAATATTGTGAGATAGCAAAGAATTTAAAGTTGTAAAAGAGAATTGACTTCGAATGACAAGTGGAACAAGTGAAAGAACACCGGGAACACTTCAAAGTGACAATAACAATAATAAAAATTGACGTAATAAAGGAAGAGAATACAAAGTGAATAGACAAAATGAAAAAATGAAAAATTTGCAGAGCCAAAATATGAATGGGGATTACCATACTTTAGCTTAGAAGCATCCCCTATCGTAGCGGACATATTTATGAACAGCTGGGAAAGTAATGCTCTTAATACGTTTAATCCTTCTCCAAAAATATGGTGGAGATATGTGGATGACACTTTCACAGTGTTAAAAACAGAACATATCTCTCTCTAGCTTCTTGACACACACAACACCCACATGTACAGGGAATAAAATTCACATTTTTGAATCCGGAAATGAACAAGGAGAATAAGCTATGTTAGACTGTAAAATAAAACGAATAGAAGGTAAACTGCACACTAGTGTTTATAAAACGCCAGCACATTCCGTTAATAGATATTTAGACTTTAATTCATCTCATCCGTTGACTGTTAAGGCAGGCTTAGTTAAGTGTTTAACAAACCGAGCAGTGACACTAATTAGCACAAGAAAAGACCTAAATGATGAACAAAAACACATAGAAGAGGCTTTGGTGTTGAATAACTATCCTATAAAATTCATTAGGAAGATCAGTAAAGGCCAAAAACAAAATAAAAATAATTGTAGAACTAGCAATGATAACATAAATAAGAGAGGATATAAGTCATCTACAGTTATACCATATAAAGAGGGGACATCTGAGACCCTCCATAAGTAGGATTCTCAATAAAGCAAGAATTAGAGTGGTGGCATTCAAACCTACAAACTCACTCAGCGAGGACAAGCTCTGCAGGTTAAAAGACCCGGTGGACCCAATTAAACAAAATAGTATAATTTACAAAGTACCCTGCGATGACTGTGAGTTAGGTCAACTACATAGGTCAAACTAGTAGGTCAGGGGTAGTCAGATTGTTGGAACATAAGAATTTAGCTAAGGTAAGAATGGTTGACCCCGAGAAGATAAGTAATTTAGAAAAAAGCTCAGCAATTGTAATGCAAGCATTAACACACAACCACACAATAGGGTAGGAGAGAGTTAAAATTCTAAAAAGTAATCTAAATAGGTAGAGAGAGAGGTTGATTACCGAATCCTTGTTCATCGAGTCTACACCCAACACATGCAATAGGAATGACTCATCACTCATACCTGAGATATGGAATATACTATTACCAATCAAATCATGTGAAAAATAATCGAACTATATAAATGAAGTTAGGAAGTCGTGTGAGTACCTTGATATGATTATAGGTAGTACACATCTGATGTTGTCTTAATATTAGCCTGGCCGTCAAAATTCAAAATCACAATGTTTCGATGAATGGAGTCTTACCCTATACCTACTCAATAAATCTGCATATTGTCTGTCCGTGTAGAAATGCTTGGCTAATTTATTTTTTATTTTTGATTATAGCTTGAAATCACACAGAATTTTTGTTACAAGTATGGAATTTTCAGCATGTGATATCGTTAGCCGAAATTTTGCAGGGCGATCATAGATATCACGTGTGGGTCGTCAGGGGAACGGAACCTCAGAGCATGTGTATGGTCAGCACGAGTCCTAGCCACTGTGCTACCGACGCACATAATATACTTAACATGCATCCTATGGCTTAATCGTGTAAGCAATTCCGAGGTCTGGAGGCCTTTGTTTAGACATTGTGGAAATCGTCATTCAGTAAGCAAGTGATGTCGATTTCGCACACCAGACTGAAGGTATCGGACATGTTCTACGAATATTGTCCTAGCAGCCTGCATACCGTCGACTGTTTTTTAGACATGGGACTGGATGGAAACGGCGGCAGAGTAGCCACTTTATTTCCTGATACCATGTAGTGAAAAATGTTTATTACCAGCCCACACAATCGTATATATATGGAGTTTTTCAAATTAAAAAATTATATCCCGTCAAGAAATTGAAATTTAGGTGTGAATGCATCAAATAACGATAGTATGCGATGATTATCATTTTCATTTTGAACTATTGTGGTGAGAGCAGGCCGTGAGAAAATATGGGTAAGGCTGGTTCAACAACCAATCACAGCAAAGTTAACGTGGTAAAATATGATTCGCAGATAGAGAACTCTATTTGTCGAGGAATCCCGAAACAACCAATCAGAAGCCTGCGTTTGTCTGCCTAACTTCTGATAAACAACCAGTCAGACGACTGCGCTTGTCTACTTGCATAAGCTATAATAATGTATGTGAAATATGTATAAATACGTGTTTATTTTCATAATAAAACTATCTGTTGCCTGGCCCTTGTCTTCTGTTGTTATACTATTTCCACATGCCAATCGTAAGTACAAGAAATTTTTCACCATGCTGAATTCTATCTTATCAAATTTCACACCACCATGTTATGTAACATTTTATATTAACCTACTAACCACATAATTATATACCTCCCCCAACATCTATACATACTCATCGATCTCTGCAAGTAAGGGCTGGCTTCGCGGAATATTCCTAAATGGCTTCAAGTGCAAACTGAATCCATAGAACCCATTAATGGGGAGAACAGACGACGAACTAACTCCTTTATTGCGAAATATATTGTAGAGACAGGAAATAAAAATGATGCTCACCCGTCTTTTCGACCTATCTGTAAAATGTGTTTGGAAGAGCGTAGCCTAAAGTTTGTGGAAATTCTAGTTGGCAATTATGAAGTTTAAACCGCCTTTACGAGATCAAACCTTCCTTGGTAAAATTTCTTTTGACACCATAGCAGATGTACTATTCACTCTGTCATTTGATTAAGTGATCTTCATTGTTGTTTTGACCTTCAGTATGACCTTGACCTAAAATTATTTTCTCACCTCTTAACTCTGTATTAATTTCATCTATATTCCTATAACAAGTCAGTGTGTGATCGCGATTGTTCGAAATGTGTTGTGCTCAAATACACACATACAATTCAAACAAATTGCGTCTTCTTATTACTTTGTTTATATATGACATGAATTGTTTTGTCACTTGCTACTTGATATTTAACTATGATTATAATCACAATTATTTCAATTGTACCTCATACTACTATTATTATTGGTAGTAGTAGTATTTGATGTATTCACACTTCTGTTCGAAACTTCCTCTCAAAATAAAACACCGTATATATATATATATATACAGTGGGAATTCTGAAATTATTGGGAATGTTTATATCAGATCAGGATCTTCTGGTGCATCCGGGCTCCCTGAGTGGGACTCGATATATCACCTCAGCCAGTTGCTCTAAACACCAGCGTATATTAGAACAAGATAGATAGGCGAACAATTTAGTCGTTCTCAGTAAGATCTTCTTCAGGCTTTACTCTAATTTAGATAGATAGATTTATTTATTTTATTTTATTTTCTTGATTGTAGCTTGATTTCCCACAGTATTTTTGGTACAGTTATGGAATTTTCAGCATGTGATATCGGTAGCCGAAATTCTCCAGGCCCACCATTGAAATCAGTTGTGCGTCGGTAGAGCGATCGAACTCCGGAGCATGTGCATGGTCGGCGAGAGACCTAACCGCTGTACCACCGACGCACAGAATTTAACCAGTGATGGTGAGTTTGTGGATCAAATAATATTAATAATAATATGGTAACTATTTTGAACATCAGTAATGACGGCGACTATAATGATAGCAACGATAATGATAATAAGATTTAGGCAGATGGCGATAAGAATAACGAAGTTAGTAATACGTGTATATGTAGACAATTCAATAAATAAATAAATTCGGTCAAATCTTAAAAGTTACGTAATGCTAAAGGTGGGTAAAGTGGATAGATAATCAGACATTAAATAAATATATTAAAAGTATGAAAGGATTGGAAAATAAGAAAGGTTGGGGGGGGGTTCATTAGAATTCACCTAGGCCAAGGGAGAGACAAAGGCAGAACAAACTTCTTTTGTATGCAAAGACTAGGACTGCTCTCTCTCTCTCGAATCTATCCCCATAGCTTTGACTAAGTGTACAAGACGGGTTCTAATTCCGTTCGAAAGACTCGGTGGAATGAGATAGATAACATTGAAGGTGGCACTATTTTTGTACACTTGGTGACCGCTACTAATCAATTGAGTTAAAAAAGAACTTCTTATAGATTTTATCTGGCCATTTCCGAACCATGAAAGAAGATGCTCGCTAATACGTTTGTTGAGATGTCTAGCTGTCCGACCTATAAAGCTCTCTCCACAGGAGCAGCTAAATTTGGTTTAGATCCGTGAGTAAACTGAAGTTATAATGACGCTGCCTAAATACTCGTGATAAAAATATGTTAGCCTATTTGCATGATATACTATTTTTATGTCGGTGTCACTGAATGCCTCTTGTTGCATCATATTTCCATATTAATAAAGAATAAACTAATAATAACCATATATATATATATATATATATGAATCACCTTCTGTTTAGATATCCACTATTGGCTTCAATATTGTTCAGATCATTTAATATTGATTTACTTGGTACCCATTTAGCCATAGCATACAATGTACCAGTGATAGGCAAGCTGACAGTTTTCTCTCCAGTACCGTCTAATGCTTCCAATAGAAGTTTACCTCCTAGCCCAACATATGCCACTAATGATGAGATGTCAGGTAAACTGGCACTACTTTGAACAAGTTTGAATGATGCACCAGTTGTTATAGTGAATCGTAAACATTGTAAATTGAATTCAGATGTAGCGTTTGATGAGGATGATGGTGTTGTAGCTGTTGTTGTTGTTGTTGTTTGTATGGCTGAAGATATTTTCATCTCTTCATAACTTGGTGGAGCAATATAAAATTCACCTATCTGATAAGATTTCCAACCGTGTTTTTCAAATAACTTGAGAAATAAAGAATAATAATGAAATGGATCACTACATAAAACAATAGAAAAATATATGACTGGTTAGAGGATTTCATTATGAGCTGACATCAATCAGAGAACCACATTGGAAAACCTACCAGGGAGTCTTGGATAGCCAGCTATTTCCTCCGTCCTGGTGTGAGACTTCTCAGCAGTACGCACCCACCGCCAGGGTTGAAATCCATGACGCTCTGGTTACAAGGCTAGCAAACTCGTAGACCAGTAAGCCACTGAGATTCTATCCAATGGGCTACCCATGAATACTAACTTCTGTTAATTCATGCTATAGTGCAATCACTTCGCAATGTCTTCTTCGATGAGTTACTGTCTCACCTTCAACCTTCTGTACTCTACTGGTCACGGCTTCCCACAAAAAACCCTAGGTTAACTGCCTGAACAGCGCCAGTCGATACTGAGTGTCAGATTAATTTTAAAATACTGGTTTTTTTTGGATTTTTGTTTGGTTGGTTGGAGGGTTTCAGCATGAGCTGAGGTTGAAGGTGAGTCAGTAACTCATCGAAGAAGACATTGTAAAGTGGTCACAATATGTCATGAATTCACAGAAGCTAGAATTCATGGGCTGATCATTGGATGGGGCACCACCAGTGGCTTAATGGTCTACAAGGTAGCTCACCTTCTGATAATAATAATGTCCTGGTTTCGAACCCCTGCAGTGGATGCTTGCTGCTGAGTAGTCCCAAACTGGGACAGAGGAAACAGCTGGTTGTCCAGTACTCTCTGTGGCTGGTTTTCCAGTGGTTCTTTAACAGATGTCAGCTTATGATGAAATCCTACAACCAATCGAACAAAGTTCCTTAGAAAACCAATACTTGAGAAATATATTTTGTAATAACACTAGTTATTATGAAATCACCATTAGTATATTGAACTATATTCTCATTATAATTGTTCCTAAGTTATACTCAGGAGCTCCTCAAAGGGTGGGAAACGTTTGTAGCTCATAGGTAGGTTTTTGGTGTGGTTGAGTTATCTGACCTGGCTGGTTTGATTAAGGAGCCACTGTTCAGACTGAAGAAATTCTCTTGATGGCTTTGATTGTGGCTGGTGTCTATCAGAAGGTTTCTTATCCATGTGTTATTTTACTATTGGTACTGAAACATCTCGTCGACATAGTACTTGATATTTTTGGTTATGTGACTTGTTATTTACTGATTAGTATACTCTATCAGCGTCACAATGTCCCTCGGCTTAGAGCTGAAGGCTTCTAAGATTTCGTTGATATTCTAGGTGTTTCCATTGTTCACAGCTTTTTACATTCCCCCCCCCAGTCAAATTTATGTCTATACTTTTCTACAATCATTGGTATGTAACTATAGATGTATGCTGAGAAGTGGCTGCTAGCCAATTGGTAGACATTTATTCACGTCAATGTTTATGTCGCAAATATTTGTTCTTAGAGAAAAATATGAACAAGACTGATTCGACAACCAATCACAATAGTCTTTTGCGTAGGCAGATGCACTTAGCATATAGATGATCTGACATTCAAGAAACAGTCACAAACAGGTGCGAGGTTAACTTTCTGTGAGAAACAACCAATCAGAAGAGTGTGTTTGTTTGCCTGAACAAGCTATAATAATGTACATGTAAATATATAAATAAGTATTCAAGTGTTGGTTTGTAGGGATTTGATTGATTTCAGGATTTCATCATGAGCTGACATTAGTTAGAAAACCATTGGAAAACCTGGCAGTACTGGACAGCTGTTTCATCCTAGTTTGGGACTCTTCAGCAGTACGCACCCACCGGGATTCGAATCCAGGACCTTCCGGTTACAAGGCGAGCTCGTATACCATTAAGCCACTGGGACCCGATCCAATGGTCCTTGAATTCTAACTTCTGCCAATTCACGACATAGCGTGACCGCTAGCCAATGTCTTCGGCGAGTATTTGTCCTCACACCCGACCAGCTGCACCCAGTGGGAAGTCGTGACCAGTAAGACAAATACTCGCCGAAGACATTGGCTAGCGGTCGCGCTATGTCGTGAATTGGCAGAAGTTAGAATTCAAGGACCATTGGATCGGGTCCCAGTGGCTTAATGGTATACGAGCTCGCCTCGTAACCAGAAGGTCCTGGGTTCGAACCCCTATGGTGGGTGCGTGCTGCTGAAGAGTCCCAAACTAGGACGAAACAGCTGTCCAGTACTCCCAGGTTTTCCAATGGTTCTCTAACTAATGTCAGGTCATGATGAAATCCTGAGATATAAATAAGTGTTGATTTCCTTAATAAACGGCCTGTTGCCTGTCTCTTGTCTTCTCTTGTTACAGATGTTGGAGATGGATAGGTTGGGCATACGGTGAGGAGGCCGTCAAGTGGCATCGCTTGCAATGCAGGCCATTGCTCAAGTGGAATTCAAATGGGAAGCGATGAGTGGGTCGTCGATGCAAAGGTGACATGGAGGAGATTGTGTTAGAGAGGAGGAGATGAAAGATTATGGGCAATCGTGAACTCAGGTGGAATTTTCAGCATGTGTGATAGCGCTAGCCCAAATTTCACAAGCCGACCATAGATATCAGGTGTGCGTCGACAGGAGGTCGAACCTCGGACTATGTGCAAGGTCCGCGAGAGTCCTAACCACCGTGCCACCGACGCACAGTGATTTTATTGTGAATTTCGTGCCTATATCCATTTCGAATGGTTACAGTATTCTACCAGCCACTTCAAAAATGTTTTCCATGTGTATGTTAGAATAAAATTTTTGTGGTTTCTGAGGATGGATTTTCGCTAGTGGTTTGACTTGACTATAGGTATCTTTCGATGATAGTTTTAAAAATATTCACTTCACACTGAAGTCAGTAGTGACTATGTTGTCTAGGGGGACTTCCGTCAGGGTACCAGCTTGCCTTACTTCTGTTTAATTTCACAGTATATTTACTAATGGACTTAACTTACTTTTGCCACAATAGATTCAGGCTGATGACGTATTTGTATTGGTAGAATCCAACGGAAATCCAATGTGAAGTAGTTTGTCAACAGTCTAAATTCAAAAGAAAAAAATTAAGGTTAATACATGTATGACATTATTCAGTGAAATTACACAAATATACAAAATTTCTCTGAAAAGACTATCTAGGTCGACACCGAAACGTCTTTTAATGAACTAAAGGCCTTAAAAAGCAACCAAACTGTCAAAATGCTTACAATGCAAGCTGCACATATTAAACGGGCTAAAACGGGCGAATTTATTGACGAAATTATTTTCTATTGGATTTCCCTGTGATTGGTCGTCTGGATCAAAATGCTTGATCTCTTTTGACATGCCGATCCCAAACACAGACTCCTTGACGTCACTTTAAGTTGAAAATGATGTTATTTGGTTAATGTTCTGTGATATTGGAATGCAGAGGGGATGTTTTGAATTATTTAAAACTCCTCAGCGGGGTATTTCTGCATTCCCAGTAGGCTACAATGGTCCTGACGAGACTGTAACCCAGCAATCGACCCAAGTGATATCCACTAGAACAAATGGGCTTAGACGATCCAGTCATTACTCATGGTAGTATTGTTTTATTTTCTGTGGTGTGATATGATTATTATACTCTTGGGTTCCGAAGGAGATATAGGGTTTCAGAATTACATCTCCATTTGGTCTTTTTCCCTGCTGTCAGCTTAAGCTGGTCTCACAACTGTCAATAAGCCTACATCACCTCTTCACACTACCTCCTGGATCTCTAAACAAACGACCAACTTGTCGTTTCCCATTCGGACTCCACTTGAAGGATGACCCTAAAGACGATGGCATTGAACGATCTCTTCAACGTGTGTCCAATACATCTCTATTTGCTTTTGCATACTTTTGGGCAGTAGGTTCTTGATTAGCCACGCGATCTTCAGAATGGAACGAAGGCATCTGATAATAACGGCCTTCTGCATCCTGTTCGAAATAGTCTTAGTGACTCACTCGTCAAGTTTCTGAGCCATATAAAAGAACTAACTCGACATTAATGTGGGAAATAGAGATTGCTTAGTGCATTGGATTTCCATATACCGATTTTACATTAAGGAAGGTCTGTATTGCTTTTCCTACCCTAAATTAACCTCCTCATGCCTACCGCCTGTCCGTAGTTGGAACGATTTCGCCTGGTTAGATAACTGAAACAGACGACTTCCATTAGACTGCTTCTATGGATGATGATTGATGCTTGTTGTCGTGTTAGGTTAGTTATCTGCATCTGCACCTCTGTATTCCCTGTGTTTGCACTGAATTCCTAACTTTGCTCCCTCTATCTACCTGGTTTTCGTCTAGAGTTTCTGTGAAATTAGACACAGATCATCCTTTAAGTCCTGATCTTCCAAAGCCTCTGGGTCAGTTGATTGTTTTAAGCCAAGAAGAAGACGAATAGATGAGACTAGTGACGCTCTGCAGAATATATGTCTAACCAGTCGGTATTCAAACTTTCAATGCACAGAAAAAAAATAGTATATTAACAAATCACTGTGAAAGTTTGTATTTTCTTCTGAAAAAAGAAATATACTACTTACTGTGGTTGAGTAGTTTCAACTAATTTACCATTATAGTAGAGTTTAATGAAGTAGGCGTATTCAAGCATTTTAAAACGACGATTTAATTCATTTCTGTTGAAACAAACAAACAAACAAACAAACAAATTGAGGATAAATTTAGTGAAACTGGTTATAATAAAAACTGACAAACACAGTGCACACAGTTTTCATCAGTAAAAAGAATCACAAGAATGAATATATTTCAATGCATTCTACATGAACATATAATTAATTTGATTGAATGGAGGATTTCATCATGACCTGACATCATTTAGAGAACCACTGGAAAACTTGGAAGTACCGCACAGCTGTTTCGTCCTAGTTTAGGACTCTTCAGTAGCAGGTTTTCCAGTGGTTCTCTAACTGATGTCAGCTCACGATGAAATCCTCCATTCAATTAAACAAAATCCCTACAAAACCAATACTTGAAAATATAATTAATTTATCTACCTGCACTCTCTATCCCAACTACAGTTGGAAGCATTATCGTATGGACTGAAATACAAAACTATTCCTATGCAAATACACAAAATGGAAGTCCAGTCACAGTATGCAAACCTCTATGATCAAATATCTGATTAAACTCCTTCCAGAAAAGATAATCTGGACTGGTTTAAAGTTAAACTGGTGGGCATTTCTCATCAATTTCTAAATGCTCAAATACACCAGAAAAATGGTTTATCAAAAGAACACCACTCCGCTTCACTTAAGGAATTAATCAAAAAAGATTATCTTATTATCCTTAGATCTGATAAGGGAGAAGGCGTTGTTATTATGGACAAATTGGATTATCAAAATAAAATGAATGATATCCCCAAAGATCAGTCCAAATTTTCCGGTGGACAATGCTACTGATAATGTGCTGCTTGTGGAAAAGCATATCAATCATCAGCTTCAGATTTTACTGATGTGTGTTTTTATAAATGAAAAGGTTTATAAACAACTTAAAGCTATTGGCTCACATACCCCTTGGCAATATGGCCTTCCTAAGATCCACAAAACTGAGAACCCACTGAGACCCATCTTAGATATGTCAAATTCTCCATAATACATAATCGCCAAATGGATTACAGAGGTCCTTACGCCTGTAAGAGACTAATTATCAAATCATTCTGTAAAAAGTTCATTTGATCTGACAGATATGCTAGACACCTTGAACATTAAGAAAAAGGTTATGTGTTCAGTCGAAATAGAATCTTTATTCACCACCAATGTTCCTCTTCATGAAACTGTTGATTTCAGATTTGGGATTACATCACAAGCAGTGAGAAATACTTACCTATCCCTATCACTTACATCGGAGACATTATTTAGAATATCACATAAAAGGTATACAAACAAATCGATAATATTCCAATGGGGAGACCGCTTGGACCCCTGTTGGGAGATATATTCATGTCAAAATTGGAGAAACAAATGCAAGGTAGGTCTGGAGAATTTATGCTATGTAAAAAACGTTATGTAGATGATACTCTCATTACTGGTAATAATAGTAAATCTATTGAAAACTTTATTACTCTATTTAGTCATATTCATCCAAATATCCGAGTGGCTTCCGAACAAAAATCTAATAACAAACTCGGTTTCCTGGATATTACTATGATTAGGAGAAATGATGGAACGATTCAGCAATCTATTTTTCGTAAACATACATGGAGTGGACAATATCTTCATTTTACCAGTTTTGTTCCTATCCAGTATAAGCGTTCCCTAGTGAAATGTTTGTTCTCGAGAGCCCGAAAAATATGCACGAATGACACATTGATGAGTGAGTTTCGACATATACATTCAATTTTATTAGCTAATGATTATCCGGAAAACTTTATCACTTGTCACAGTATAGAAAGACTATATCTCGAAAAGACAGCTTCTGTACCAAAGAAAGCTATCTTTATTAACCTACCATTCAAGGGTGACCAGATTATGCAGTTGACAGCTACCTCAAAGACTTCGGTCAGCCATCAAAAACGCACATTCTATGCCGTGTCTGTTTCTCTCACTCTCCGAAAATTTTAATTCTCTGTACCTACGATTAAAGGACGAAATTTTGTGGACTCTACTTCAAACTGTATCTACAAGTTCACCTGCAGCTGCGGTGACACCTATATAGGTAGAACCAACCGAATGTTCCAATGTCGTCGTCGAAATGAACATGTCCCAAAATGGCTAATAAATCATATCGAAAATCCCAACTCGATTAGCTTGAATAGAAATCCGGCATCATTCATTGCAAAACACTTAATAATGTCAGGTCACAAAATCGATATTAATGACTGTTTCACAATTATTAAATCACATAACTCTAATTCAAGGTTTTTGAAGGTGATAGAAGTACTTTGGGGATTAATCACATACAGCGTAAACTGTGTGTACAAAAAACAACAGACTTCAATCGTCGCCTACCCTGAAAAGACTACTTGACCTGTATAAATATGACTGGTCATAAGTATGTACTTTTGTTTTTTATTTAACTAAGTAATTGTCATGATCTTTAAAAAATTTTATTAATGTCAACCATGTTAGTTGTAAAGCGGTTGTAAAGAAACTACGAAATGATGGCATCATCTCGCGAAATTTGTCTTCTTAATGCCTTATTCAAATTTATCAAAGGGATTAATTGATTTAACATTCTACTGAAGTGAAATTAAGTAAATCTCACCTCCGAAAAATAATCGATGAATCGCGTTTAGCCCTGCTACTAAAATGCAAAAGACAAATGGATTGCATCCCAGTGACTGGATGCTCAATGAACACGTCTCGTGAAATTAAGCTCCTGGAAATGACCCCTTCAAAATAGGACAATGGCTGCTTGTTGATGAAGTATCGCAAAACAACGACGAAATAGTCGTCCAGTAGTCCCTGTTGGTTCCCAATGATTCCCCCCCCCACTTAGGGTCAATTCGTCATCAAACCTGAAATTCCTGCTTAATCTTAATTTTTCATATCAGCTATTGGCAGCATAAAAATAACCGAAACATCAGTAAATGCGGTATCGTTTTGCTTTTTAACTTGCTGTGAAATACAAAACTCGCTTGTGACGATAATGAACATTTCGTAACTAATGCGCAAACTTTGTCAAACCGTCAAAACCTGAACCTGAAATTGACATTTTCACCTTGAAGTCTGTTATATTAAACTCTTAATTATAAATATGTATCTAAGCAAAGAATAAACGAATTAATAACTAAAATCTTGAGCAATTTGTTCCTTCGAATCATTTCACATCAATAGAAAAATTATTTAAAGTAAGGCCAAGCTGTTTGAAAGGGTTTACGGCAACATTGTTTCACCATGTACAAGGAGAAATCTGAATAGTGTGTATACAAAACAGGTTTCTTCAATCCCATTTTATTAAGTTAGCCTGAAATGCCTCCTTTTAGCTCATGAATAATCTCCAACTAGACCTTAATGAAAACAAAATACATTTCAAAAGTGTCTGTCTACCACCTGAGTCTATCGATTATCACAGTTCATTTTGTTAAAAGACTTTATCATGAACTGACATCAGTTAGAGAACCAATGGAAAACCAGGCTAGAAGTGCTCAACAGCCGTCTCATCCTTGTTTATGACTCTTCATCTGTATGCATCCATCGGTAAGGCTATAACTTAGGATCTTCTGGTCACAAAGTGAGTTAGCTCGTAGACGATTATACCACCGAAACTCGATCCGTGACCTAAGCTCAATCTATTCTAAACTATACATTAATCTACCCCATACCAACCATATTTATCTCCATACAATTATTCCCCTGTTTGTGAATTTAAACAAAGAAAACAGAAATGTTTATGCAGAATAATATATGAGGGGTAATCATTGATTCCGTTGGATTCTCTTCAGCTGCTTACAGTAAAAGTTGGTTATATGAGAATATATACAGAATTCTTTCACACCTGCATAGATCAACACACGACATGTGTGAACAGAGACTCATGTTAATAAACAGTATCCAGTAGTTTGACTTAATATAACTCATGAAGGATGAGGTCAAAGTTCACCATAAATATCCACATGCAAAATTAACGATTGGATACACATTGAAAACTCAGTTGTAACAATCAAGGAAAGAGGAAAGAATTCGACGATGAGTTATAATCCTGTGAGTAAAACTAAAGTCTCACAGAAACAAAAAGAACTGAATTACACTAAGGCGAAAGTTGTGCCAGGAGAATGGAAGCAAAACAGACTGACGCGCATCCTGTCCAAAGCGGATTAGACAACACTATCCAGCATAGTTGCGAAAAGGTAACAATGATGGTAAAAGGAGTGCGATAAGTGAACATCTGGTTAACACTGATCATTCCATCTCAACAAACGCCTCCAGCTTGAAAGTAATCCTACAGGGTCAACAATAATCTGTGCAAAAGCAATACAGTTTCCTCATATAACTGAAGCTCTGGCCATTCACTTAAAAAAACCTGAGCTGTGCATGCTCAACCACTTCTACTATCATAATAGCAACCTTGTCTATTTGCCTATTTCTTTAATTGCTTATAATTTTTGTATTCATTTAGAACTCTTAAGTAATTTCGTATTCTCTACTTTGTTCCTATGTGTATCCTGGTCTGGTCTGGTCTGGATTCAACATAGAACTTGGCACCGAAGTGCAGCAGTTCGAGTTGCCACGTTCCAAATAGCACACAGAGGTAGACAAGAAGATGAGTGAAGAGAATCAATAGAGTTTGACAAGTATAAGAGTGAAACAGAATGGGTAATGGTAGAAAGGAATATGAAAGATTACAGAGACTGAATACATCTGCGCTGGCCATTGACAACGATTTTGAGCCATGTCACCTATTGTCTCCAGCCATTGATTCCTAGAGTCCCGAGGGCCCCAACCCGGGAGTCTGCATCTCCCTACCTGACTCAGTTTAACTGTCAAGGATTTCATGGATTGATGGGGCCATGTTTTTGTTTGGCCACCACTGGCTCTTTTCCAACCTGAACCTATATCAGCTAGCAATGCCCGTCGGGGGAGGCGGTGGTTAGGCATGCGCACCACGTGACCTAGCCATCTTAGTCTATGTAACTTTATAGCCTCGTCGATTGATTTTCCCTCTTTGCCCAACACTC